TATATTATAAATATAATAAGTCTTTTAATCTTATTTTAATTATATATAGAAATAATCGTTCTCGGCCCGGTTTTAGAATTCTATTATAATAAAACAGCTAGTTTTTTTCTAAAATTAAGTCGTATCTAAAATTATCAGATATTATATAAAAATATATTTCTTCTTTTATATAAAATCCTATATCTATTTTTATTTATATAATAGAATAGATTAATATTTTATTATCTGAGATTTCTTATACCGGCCTTAGATTAATATTAATAAATAACAGACTATTTACTTTAATAAATATTTTATTTATAATATTATAAATTAGATATTCTAAATTGATAAAAATATAGACAGTTGCAGTAAGATCTAAAATAGCTTTTATTAAAAAGAAATATATAATTATATATTTTTTTTAAAACTTTTCTATTTTCTTTTAGTTTTATCTAATAATTTTTATTTAAATATATAACTTTATATTAGACTTTTTCTTTTTCTAAATCGGAGTTTTTATCTGAAAAGATATATTATTTTTTTTATTACTAAAAGACAGATATTACAGCAGTTATATTTATTAATTATATAATAGATTTTAAAAAATATTAATAGATAAAATATCTATTTTACTTATAACAGAGACAGTAATCTACTTTATATCTTTTTTATATCTTATGAAATATTATTTATTAAATCTATTTTTAAAGATTATTAATAATTATATAAAAATAGTATTTTTCTTACCGTACAGCGGCTATTTAAATAGATTTTTATTTTATTAATTTAAAACTCGGTTTGCGTCGCACCGGTATAATCTTAATATAATTTTCTTTAAAAAAAATATTTTATTAAGATTATAATTTATATAATATAATTAATTACAATAATCTTTATATATAAACTTTTAAAAGATTTTAATTAAATTTTTAATAAATTTTTAATTTACTATAATATTTAATATAGTCTTTTTCTATTCGTCCGACCAGTTATATTTATCTATTTATAGTAGAATTTTATTAAAATTATTTAAACATTCTTTTAATTCTTTTTTTTTATTTTATTATATTTACCCGATTCAGAGCTTTTCGTTGTATATTAGGATTTTTAAATATTTTATCTATTATTATAAATATATCTTTAAATTATACTGTTTCGGTACTTTAAAATTCGATTTAAAAAAAATATTTATTATACTATCTGTCCGTATAGTCGACTGTAGATATAAAAAACTTATTTTAATCTAATAAAATAATAATTTTTATTAATTATAAATTTCGTATATATATTTAATTTAAATAGTTCGTAATTATATTTGTTTTTTCTATTAAATAATTTTATATTAGAATATTAAAAATAGAATCTGTAGTTCGGCTCGTACGGATACTGTAGAGGATTTTCCTCTAATTTACTATTAATAATAAAAATTATATTATAATTTTATAATTTATTTATTTACTTTTTAAAAACTAATTTCTATTTCGCTATTTCCGTACGGAGGCTGATTAGCTTTTATAAAAAAAGTTGCGTGTTATTATATATAGCTGCAGACGCTACGGTCGGCTGCAGTTTTTTTTAATCTATTTATTTTATTATTTTAATAATTCTTTTAATTTTATTTTATTTTATTTATATATTTAGTCGGGCTCCGTCTAGGACTTTTTAATAAGCTATTTTTAATATTACAGAACGGATGGATTGTGCTAATTAAAATATATCTTAAAATAAAAAGAAATAGCTGAAGAATTATTTTATCTGTTTATATAAAATTTTTTTATATATGCTAAGCTAGCGCTAGTTTAGTATGTAGCGTGCGAGGCCTCAGGCATCAACTGGTGCCTGAAGCTGAGCTCTATATCAGGGCCTTGGTCCCATAACAGTAGTAACCCCAATTTAAGCTGAATCTTTAGAAAAATTACAATAATAGTTTAGAATAAGCCTCTCTCTATTCTATTTAAATATTAGAATTATTAATCTATATATAAAATTACTATCCTACATCTACTTTTTAAGATATTTTATAGTTACTGTCAGGGCGCTCAGCCAATCGGGTAGCAGTATGCGATCTACAGATTAAAACATTCTATATAGAATGTTCCAGGGCCTGTAGAATAGGCCTCTTTCTATTCTATCTAAATATCAGAATTATTAATCTATATATAAGATTACCACCCTACGTCTATTTTTTAAAACATTCTATGGTTACTGTCAGGGCGCTCAGCCAATCGGGTAGCAGCGTGCGACCCACAGGTTGAAACACCCTATATAGGGTGTTCCAGGGCCTGTGGAATAGGGCCTGTGGAATAGAAGAAAAAAGCCTGGGCAGAAGCGCTGTTAGATGCAGTATCGTTATTAACGGTTTAAGGTATGACTTACCATAACTGAACGCCCTTTTTCATCTCCTTTCCATCATTAATAAAAACTATAAAGGGCCTAATTCCGTAGTCCTCACCCTTAACCACCAAGCGTGCAAAGACGACAGCTACACATCGGACCCCAGCAATTAGCATAGACAGAGGCATAAACCTAACCAGGATCAGTGATAATAAACTTTTATACCTCAATAAATTCATACTTTCTCGCCTCAGATATAGATATATCGAGGATGAAGCTGCCATCAGACTGCCGGATTGCCGTTGTCTCAATATTTCTGGCATCACAACCATACCCCACTTCGTTTAACATAAATGGGGTCCTGAGTTTGGATTAGTATAATACGCAAGCGGCCTTCAAAATAGTAAATACGAGATATCGAAGTTCAAGATCTCCTTCATCAGTAGTTGGAGATCCGGCCGCTTAAGAGCAAAAGGTGCGACAGTACCGGCCACCAGATTATATTAGATAGTAACCAATATCTGTGCAGTAGTGTCGCGAACAATAATATTATCTCTGTGTACATCCCAGAACTTCAGTGTCAAATACAGGACATCGTCAAACATCAACCCTAGTATTTTTAGACTAGCATTTTCAAAAGAAGAGCAATCGCTAACCATAAAGATTGCCAATGGCCCTAGCTCTTTAATACAAGCGTTCCAGCTCCTCCAAGCGTGGTCCATCTTCGTAGTAATAGTTGAATAGCTTGGACGAGAGGAGCTGGAGTGAGGTCATAGTAGATGAAATTTCGGTTTACATAACTGATTTGTTGAAGGTCAATTGGCTGGTCTTTAGATTATTTTCTAAAATATAAATAAAAATGCAGAAATAGGACTGAACTTTATATAACATAACCTCACAAACCATCACATAGGTCACTTTGACAGATAAGATCAGAAGGGAAAATAATAATAATAGGAGCTTGAAACAGCCATATTCGAAGCATAACGTAGTTGAGAATACCAGTCAGATGCTGATAAAAAACATGCCCTCTTCTCATTGCGTAAATAATCACTCATACCCGGTCGCTGAACATAGCAAGAGGAACATCATTCTTATCCATTTCTGACTTAGTACATTGGTGAATGTTCTTGGTTCTTAGATCGATGCATGCATTGTACTGGATTAGGCAATTCTGCACTCTGTGTTCGATTCTTTCGGCACTCCAAAAGATTTGACGGTTAGGGGCCAAGAGATAGTGTTTTCTCCTTACAATATATACAACGATTTGACAGATAATGATTAGTAGACAGAAGTATGTGGTAATCGGAAACTCCGAATGAGGCTGGAAACGTTAGCATTCATATATATTCATACAAACTGACAGTAGTAAGGCTTATTTTAGTAATATTTGGATCATGCAATTGGGCTGTTCGTTGGCCTGAGTTCTACACAATAACTATATTATACTACTCTAGCTACGTGCACACCACCCCTCTCATAGTTTCCTAACTCTTAATTATCTCAGAATTAGAGTTCTGTACACACCACTACAAGTGCCTTACTTCCTTCATTCCTGAATAGCCCACGGGACTGGGACCAGGCAAGGTCACCCATCCCCCTACCTAAACTGAAATTTCTCTTATCAGTCCACCCTTCACACATATACTGTTGAACAATGGTCAGCATTCAACCTTTCTTTACAAAGTACTGCACATTATAGAAACCACATGTCTTCTACAATCACCATTCGGCGCTGAAAGTTGAAGGTGGAAGTTCAAATTATTAGTAATAACCCTGCATTGTCACTTGTGCCTTGGTATGCTGATGGGGCAAGGATTCGGTGCAGCCGATAACTTCCTGGACATGTCCAGGCCACCACGTCGCTGAAACTCTTGCACAATCGGTACAATACAGTTTTGAGAGCCCGGCTGTGCCAAAGGTAGAAGATGCAGGGTTCATCGTTTGACTGTTACTGTTCACCTGCATGATACCCAAATAACCACGCTTGGCAAGTACGTCACACACCACTCTTCAGAAAACCACAATATCTATTTCAGTTATACTGCATCCTCCAAGTAGATAGTTCCCATAAAAGAAATGGATTCTGAGCAGATGAAGGCGTGGAGTAGTATAAAAAAAACATATATCCCAGCGAGTCCCGTTTTCAGATTTAACATCAACATTCAGACAGGACATAGTCGAAAACCATCCCCTTGTCCAGAAGACAGCTGGACTTTGGAATACACCATACTTGGCACATACAACTTTCTCTATGCACCACTCTTGGTACAAACATTTTTTGCGGAAAGAGACACAATAATATCTAAGCGAATCCGTACAAATGACTCCGATGCAATTATTATCCCCCTCTATATCATATTCCTTATCTACCACATGATGAACAAGGGCATCTCCTACAGGACATATCATCCTAGTAGGTTAACTGTATCTATAACACTAATAAGAATATAAAAATTGACAATGGCAAGCACTTCCGTGGCATACAATCGCAGGGAGCACAAAGATCATCCTCTACTACCTCGGCTTCCGGTGCTCACTCGTGGCCGTCGCTGCATGTTTGGTACACTCATAGACAGGACTGAGGCTAGTCAAGAACCTGCAGAATGGTTACCCGCCTTTAAAAAATATAGTTAAGCCCGTGAAACCAGGGATTATTATCATACATACTAACAAATCCAGGACCCGCCTACCAAGCAGATTCAGTTATGCGTCCAATCCAGATTCTTCGTACCTACTATACTCAGACCCCAACAGCTTACCACAATGCTATCATGCCCGTCCACGCATTTCTCTATACACGAGTACTTATATTTCTAATAGGAACAATGGGTCCAACCATCTCATTTCTGAAGAACGTCAACTCTCGGTTCGTCTACTCGGAGTCCATACTCGGCGGTGCTCTCATTGCCGTCAGTCATTACAGCAAACCCGAGGCTGTAGCTACTTATCTTCTTATTATACATGTATTGGGCAAAGTGAGCCTATAGACACATAGGCAGCAGGATATATACCGGTATGCCGCACGATAACAAACATCAAATCACGAATCACACTAAACACATCAATTTTAGGACGGAGAAGCTTCCTCGTCCGAGAATCGTACTGTTTCTTTCGTTCCTTGGCTTTGTCATCAGAGACCCAGAACTAGTCAACTTTTCTGAAGCTGGTGTCAAAGGACCACCAGAGATCGGAAAATTACCCGGGGACACAATGGGACATTCTTGGGCTGCCTTTAACTAGTTTGAATACGTATCCCTAATACCCGCAGTCTACAGCCGATGCCATGAATGATTAAGTCTTTAGAGGTTTAGAAATGTTGTCCAATGTTCTTCCTACAGTCGTGATTTTGAACTCCCCGTGTGGGCTTTATTTGGAATAGAATGTTTGATATCTTATAAAAACAAAATAATATAAAAAAGAATTTTTATTATAAAATCTTAATATTAATGTTTTAAAAAAAATAAATATAAGTTTAGATTATTTAATATTTTTATATTTCTTAGTATAGTTTAAAAAGAAATTTTGTATTTCAATAGATTCTTAGAAAATAATCTATAGATTAATATATCTAATCTGCAGGATTAACGGATTTGGATCTTGGGTCCAGTATTCAGACCCGATCTATGGGTATGGGTTCTGATGTTGAACCCAAACCCACCTGTGGCGAGGCCTACCTATGGGTGAATGCCTGACGGGCTAAGGAGCCCGACACCTTGGAAGGTTGAAGCCGACCTTTACTTTCAGCCCACAATTGTCACGTTGTTTATCAGAGTTGGATTCGACATGATTTCGCCTCCTGTGAGTGTTTGCTGATTCGGTCGGCCTATGGCCTTGTGTGACGAGGTGGAAGGCTGTGTATTTGGCAACCGAGTCTGGTATTTTAAGAGTCAAATTTGGTATCCAATCGATATCTTACAAGCCTCAGAGATGAGTGAATCACCTGGTAAGGTCAGCCTAGTCATTATATAATTCTGAGGTCTTAAACTCGCTAGCCATGTAAGTGTATCGAAGCTAGAGAGTGGTGAGAAAAGCCAGGTCCGAGAACTGGACGTCCGAGTTTCATCATCTTAGCGCTTACAGGTCAGCAACGTGGGAAAATCATGCATCTTCAATTTTGGTCGGTATGTCCACAGTCTAAACGCCATGGCTTTGTCTTATCCACACTACCACGCGAGTACCATCGGATGAAACTGTCTCTTTGCTTTTCCAGACAAATCCTCTTATCCGAGGGAGAAGCACCCACCATCCATACCAATACGCCCAGCTACTGGATAGAGCCAGGATTGCAACCGTTGGCATCAACCAGAATGGAAGACTAGTGTCACTGGTGTGCTCGCGGTTTAGGAAAGGCGACAACACAAGGAATATCTGCGTGGCGAAAAAAACAACTGCCACACTCGTCCACACACGAAATGTCCGTTGCGGACAGGCCAGACGCTTGCGGATAATGAAGAGTCCCAGTACCACCGCCAGATATATGATCGCAAATGCGTACTGACCGACATCCAGGAGGAAGCTATATGCGTCTCCGAAGGGGACCAAGAGGATCATCACGGCGGAACCCATGAACAGTGCCAGAAAGGCACCCTTTGGAGTTGCCGACGGGGTGCTGCTTGCGAAGAAGGAAGCGAAAGGCAGCACACCCTCGCGGGCCAAAGCTTGGATAACCCGCGACATGGAGAAGGATGCGGTCAGGAGACTCCCAAAGGATGAGAGCGCGGCCACAAGGGCCGTACACCATTGCGCTGTTTCTCCCCAGACTTTCCCGACTAACAGTGCGACCACGGTGACACCCGTTTTACTGAGTTCTTCCGGGGAAGCAGCGCTAAAGTAGGCCGCATTGACTAGGATATACAGAATCCCGACCGAGCCCACACCGAGAAAACTGGCGATTTTCAGCGTGCGTCGCGGATTCTGAACCTCGTCGAGAACGTAGGCGGCATTCGACCATCCTTGATACGTGGCCAGAATCTTAAATAGTGCGGTCGTATAGTCGTAAATTCGAGTGGAAGAGCCAGCAAAAGGATGATCAAAGCTTGCGCCCAGCCGGTGGTCCCTGGGTTGGTCCGTTGAAACCACTCGTAAGCCAGTGATGATAATCAAGACCAGCACCACTATCTTGGCAGAGGCCAGAAAATTCATCAACCGCACCGCGAGAGTACTCGCCTTGATGTGCAAGACAGCGATGGTCGTCATCAATGCAATTGCCAGAAAGCGTTTCACCCATTCACCTGCAGTGCCATGCACGGCTAGCAGGAGATTTTCGGCTATCGCGATACTCCCAATGCCTGTCGCAGTCAACATCAAAGTCAGCTAGCTGAGAGAGCCGGAGACAGTAGTACCGGTGAAGCCGAGACCGATCACATGAGTAGCATAAATGGTGGTTGCTAGCAAGGGTGGACGGGGATAGGCGGCGTTCAGATAAACCTTTTCCCCACCGCTGCGAGGAAGCAAGGAGGCCAGTTCCAACCAGATCATCAGCCCACAGAGGGATAGCAGGAATCCGGCCGTCCAGAGTGCCAAAGCGGCTCCAGCGCTTCTCACACTGGCAGCGATGGCCGAAGGAGTGGAAAAAATGGCCGTTCCGATCATTCGATTGGTACTGGTCGATTCAGTTAGTGAGGGCCTTGTAGCCTGGCAGCCTTGCAGCCTTGTAGCCTTACATCAAGAAGGCGGTGGACCAGATCCCCAGATGGCGACGAGGGGTTGCTTCCTCCCTGGGCTCTTCACGCAATCTATCGGGATCAAGTAAGTCGCCGGATGGAAGAAGTAAAGCACTTTCCGAGTCGATGACTCCAGGGCGGCTGGAACCATCCATCAGACGAGGCGGAAGGTGGGTGAGGGTAGCCTTAACCTGAGGCAGTGGAGAGTGGAGCGGATAGTTGTGTTTATGGTTGATGAAGGGAAGAGAAACAAGAGCCAGCGGCCAGCCTGACCGCCTGGGCAGTATCCACTTTGCCGCCCTGCAAACCATGCAAATGGTGCAAACGCTGCAACTGCCTCCCGTAGTTGACCCGATGGATTCCACCTGGCATGAAAGCAAGGGGTATTGCCTGGTGGCCTGGTTGGACAGGACTGATAGAGGCGCTTTGCACCTAGTTATGTGACACACTCTACGTGTAGATAAGTCACAACTCTCATTCATGGTAATCATGGTAATCTAATCCGTATATGCACCACTGGTGGAATACTGGCGCGATAAGTACGACTGGCGCAAGTTCGAGGCCTATATCAACAACTCCTTTCACCACTTACAGACTCCCATCCCAGTGACTGGGTTTGAGGTTATTAGCCTTCACTTTCTCCACCATCGATCTTCAAGACCCGGAGCTATACCGCTGATCTTTGTCCACGGCTGATGGGTTCAACTCTTACACGAAGAAGAGCGGCTTCGGTCTGAGCAACACGCAGAATGTCTAGCCCGCCTGATGACTAAACTTGGTTACCACCAATATGTTTGCCAGGTACGCACCATGGAATGATGATTTCCAGGCAATGAAAAGTTTTCTGACGCGTGTAGGGGGGAGATTGGGGGTTATCAATTGTGCGCCACATGGCGCTGAACCACTCCGACGCAGTGCGGGCCATCCACATCAATATGTTGCTGGCCTTGCCTCCGGATGAGCATAAGTCGCCGGAAAAGTACGCCAGGTACCGCCGAAATGAGTATAGCGAACAGGGAATCCGCAACCTGGAGCGGACACATTGGTTTGCGACCGAAGAGGTGAGCTCCGATCATCCTGTGATCCACAGAGCCTGTCTCCTCATTGAGATTTGACCAGCGAGGCTATTAACGCATCCAAGAGACCAAGCCAGTCACACTGGGATATGCCTTGCATGATTCGCCGGTGGCTATTCTGGCCTGGTTTGTCGGCAAGCTGAACGCATGGACGGATGAGTATCCTTGGACACCCGACGAGATCATCCACTGGGCACTTATTCACTATCAAGGCAGTCCCAGTGCGGCCATGCAGATCTATAAAGAGGCGTCTGCTGTGTTGAACGCGAACCCGGATAGCATGCTCGGCCAATGCATCTGTCAGCCTGTCGGCGCCTCTGTCTTTCCCAAGGAGGTGAGCCGCTCCCCTCTTGGAGATTGATGTACTGGGTGACTGATATGATGATGTATAGCTGTGGATCGCACCACGAGATAGGGTGGAAGAAGCGTGCAACGCTCAATTCTGGAGACATCACAGAGGTGGTGGTCATTTTGCTGCCTGGGAATGTCCCCAGGCGCTGGTAAACGACGTAGCAGAATTCTACCGAAAGGACGGACCTGTCTTTGGTAGTGGAAAGTCTCCCATGACCTAGATCACAATAGCTCTAAGGAACATGCATGATTGTCAGCATTGATTGCCCCATCCAGGCTATTTTCGAAGCGCGGGCTGCGATTGATCTGCGTTTTCGAGGCTCGGTGTCAAGAGCTATGACTCTGGCCAGTACAGATTCTGGATATCAAACTTTTTGTTTGATTCTTTGTCGAAAGAGATGTATTACACGCGAGTTTAGATAGAAGGGGGCACAGATGTTGGCAAGACCAGCAGCCTCTAATTGATCCTGCCGTCATCAAACTGCGCGTCTCCTGCTCCGCGCATAAGCACGTCAAAGAAGGCAGTATCAAAACCTTGGAAGACCCAATCGTCGATGCTGGCGGCCGCATCTGGGAACATGTGATCTTTCTCCGCTACCTCATCGGGGATTCTTCCGGGCAGAAGCTGCGTAGTATGTTGTTGCTGCAATGAATCACTTGCGGCCTGTGTTCTCGCTGCTTGTGGTGGGACATCTGATGTGCTATTGACTGAAAATCGGTCAGGAACCGTGGGAGGTTCAATTTGAATCGACCCAATGCCTCCAATCGTGACTCCTGCGTGATGGCCTTGATCTTGCCCTGTTTCGGAATATGGCACAGACGTGATGCCTTCAGGTGTAATTCTGATTGCACCGAGATATGGCACTCTGATGACTAACGCATTAGGATTATCGGTCGGCTGATAATCTGACGACTGTGTCTCGTCTGCGTCGGCCTTGTATCCTTGTGCTGCCCTGCCTTCAATAGACAACAGATCCTTCAGCAAGGCAGCACATTCTGCGGCGAGGACATCTTCGTGTAACTCTGACATGGACTGCATGCATTCTAGAGCCCGCTCCACGGTGGCTCTGTCGCTCGATCGCTGGTGTGCGAGCAGCCTATTGACCTCCGTCTGGCCATGACTTGCGAGGTGGGCGAGGATCAAAGTCATTCCAGCAATCAGCGCCATGAAGTCGCCAATCCGACAACAGGCGGTTATTGGGTTGAAAGTACGGATTGCTATCTCGCGAGTCAATATCTCGCGGCTAGCATTCGCACACGCGATTCCCGAGTACACCACATCAGCGCTTTGGCTCTGGCACAACATGTACGGTAAATGCAGTTGGTTGACCACGGTATAGTAACACATGTGGTCCCATGCTCGCCGGGTTTCGCAAAATGCCTCTACTGAATCTACTTCGAGACCTGCGAAAGCCAGTGGCTGCCAGAACGAGGAGGGCAATTGTTCGGTCATCCTAATGAGTTCTCGATCGATGTCCCGCGTCATTTCCTGAGCTTGCTGGGGGACTCTGACCTGATTTCGCTCCAGAATTCTGGCCGTGATCTGCATGATTAGTGATGACAGATTGCCACTGGTCTGCGAAGGACTCTTCCTCCCCGACGTTGTCCCAACAGTACTTGTGGGTAGGCCCAGCAGCAAGGACAAGACACGCTCCATGGAGATGATACAAATCCACATGACATTGGGGTCGAGGTCGTTCTTGTCGTTGATCTTCTTGAAGCGATACTGACCGGGTTGATGCAACCCCAAGAGTTGCGCCGTAGTGACAGCACGACGGATTGCTAACCAAGCACGCCGGATGTTTCCGCTGTCTATATGAAAGAATCCCTCCAGAATGATGTTTTCCAGACCTTCCAAGGTTCCCATTAAGCAGTCATTAGTAGTCACCATGGCAATGGCCGACTCCGCGAGGTCCTCCATGATGACATGGTGATGTTGATCAAGACCCGAGATAACCTCAGTGGGAGAAATGTGCTGCAATGCTGCTGCTAGAAGTAACATTTGCCTTGCTAGCAAGACCGGATGGGCTTCTGGGTGTTGCAAACTGGGGATTGCGATTTGTTCCAGTGGCAGGTCTTGGCGCGACGAGCTATTTAACTTGAAGCCGGACTGATAGCACAAAGTGGAAAGTCTCGAGACCTTTCCTAGCAGAATCTCGACCTCGCTTGGGGAGGGAAGCGCACGCAGAAGAGCTTGGGTAATCTTTGAATGTCTTGTAGTCTGTAAGGCAGTTCTCGCGCGATCGGAGTGTGGTGATATGCCCGGGGTTAGGAGCAGGTCTGGCGATTGCAGAGCAAATTGACTGACACATTTGGTGCCTCGACGGCCGCAGGAGATACAGCTATCATCGTCCGGGGCAGCAAAAGTGCATTTGACTTTTCTTCGACGGCACTCTCGGCAACAGTGAGTTCCTTTTCGCACCTTCCTCCGCTTTGCCGCACTTTCGTCCGAAGCCGCACTCATTTTGGCAGTAGTTAGAGAAGGAATGTGTTGCAAAGGTGAGGAGGAGAGGGCGAGAGAGAGCGAGAGGCAACAAGAGACAACGAGAGAAAGCGAGAGTTCGGCCGAAGCGGCTGACTCATCACACCCCGCTCCTGCAAGTTCGGCCGAATTGATCTTGATATCATATGGTTAGATGGTATATGTGACTGACACTGATCAGGCTGATCCCTTCAGACGATTCTGCATGATGGCGGCTAAGGACCTTGTCTCCAAGCCTAATAGCAATCGTTCCCATGAAACTAGGGGTAGTTTCAAGCCGAAAACTCTCCTCACCGGACACGCCCTACTTTAGAAGACACGATAAGAAGCTACGAACTCAACTGTAGAAGTTTCTGCATCCCTAAAGGGGTGCTCGTGTTCGGCCGACGCGGCTGACAAATGGTGGGTTTGGAGAGATTCGGACGAGGTATTTGCTTATTGAAGCCGAACTAGGCCAAAAAGCAGGGAGACTGCATTCACATAAATCTCGTGGGGTCTGCCTTAGTCCGTAAGCTGAGTCCAAGTTCCTCACAAGCGTTACAATGACAGAGCACACACCTTTCGCACCAGAAAAGCCAACGAGCACCCAAGACTCTCCACCGGGGTCGAAGACGACAGCGGCATCAATCTCTACACCCCGCGTCAGCAAATTCCAAGCCATCGACGCGCAAGCCCCGGTTAATGATGGCTATCCGCACGGTACTCGCTTGGTTGCCATTGTTCTCTCACTCCTGCTGGCCATGTTTCTGGTGTCTCTTGATAACGTGCGTTGACAGGCCTCATGACGCAGCGCAGAGCTAATTGAGATTGGTGCTAGACCATTCTTGGAACCGCTATCCCTAAAATCACCGATCAATTCCATGATCTGAACAAGGTTTCGTGGTACGGAGCGGTATATTTCATGACCTTTGGCGGTGGTGAGTAATGACGGTGCGAGTTGCCCACGCCAAGCTGACAGCCCGCATAGACCATGAACCTTTTCTTGATCTGAAGACCGTTCTCAAGGATTGGTCGCAACACTTTGACAAGACCAGACGGCTAATTGTTTCAAGGGTTCCAATCGACCTGGGGAAAGGTCTATAAGTTCTTTCCCATCAAACTTTGGTTCCTTATCGGCTTGTTCATTTTTGAGCTGGGAAGCCTCCTTTGTGGAGTCGCCCCAGATCCCACAACTCTCATAGTTGGCCGGGCAATTGCAGGGTTGGGCGGAGCTGGGGTGACGGTGGGAATCTTCACCATACTTGGATTCACCGCCCCTCCTGAAAAGCTTCCGCAGTTGTTAGGGTATACCGGCGCCACATACGGGATCGCTGCGGTTCTCGGTCCGCTTATCGGAGGCGCCTTTACCGATCAAGTGACATGGCGCTGGGTAGGGTCCACAAGCTTGCCTCCAGTCTCCCCTCTGATTGCTGACCCCGTTCTAGTGCTTTTATGTTAACCTACCCATCGGGGGGTTTGCGGCGGTGGTTATCCTCGTATTCTTCCAGGCTCCGGCCAATGCAATGCCCGCGCGAGCCACTTTGCGAGAAAAGTTGTTGCACATGGACTTTGTCGGTGCCGCTCTCGTGATGGGATTGATTATCTCATATATCTTAGCACTGCAGTATGGTGGTCAAACACATTCTTGGAAGAGTAGCCTCGTGGTCGGCTTGCTGGTGGGTTTCGTCCTCATTCTGGGGGTCTTCATCGCATGGGAGATCTACCAAAGGGAGCATGCAATGATAGTTCCGCGATTGGTAAGTCACAGTCCAGATCCGTCGTGGCTTGCAGATGATCTAACTGCCCGGGTGGGGATAGTTCATGCAACGCTACGTCTTTGTCGGCTCCATCTTCATGTTCTTCTTCGGTGGGGCGTATTTCACAATCTTGTACTATCTTCCCATCTACTTCCAAAGTGTCTACAACAGTAGTCCCATCGGGTCCGGGGTCAAGATGCTTGCCCTCATTATTCCCTTGACGATTGCCGCCATTGTCCAAGGGGTTGCACTATCCAAGATCGGCATCGTGCCTTTATTCTGGGTGATTGGCGGTGCGATAGGAACCATCGGGTGCGGGCTCTTTTACACCATGGACACCCACACTTCGACTGGCCAGTGGATTGGTTATCAGATCCTGGTTGGATTTCCTGTTGGGTGGACATTTCAGGTTGCTCTTTCCAACGCACAGGTTCATGCGGCACCCGAGGACATGTCGCAAGTGGCATCTATTGTGAATTGTAGGTCCTTGTCTTTCCTCACGCGACAGTGTCTATCGAGAACGATCTGCTGATCCCCACCGGTAGTTTTCGTGACCGTGGGCGGGTCTTTCTTCCTCTCCGCCGCACAATCCGCTTTCAACAATCAGCTGCTCCAGGTAGTTGCCCGCCGACTCCCCGATCTGGATCCATCCGTGATTTTGGGAACTGGGGCAACGCAGATTCGCCAAGCATTCCCATCCTCGCAAGTACCCGTCGTGATTGACGCATATGTGGTTGGGTTGAAGGCGGTCTTCGCCATCACCGTGGCGGCGTTTGGCCTCAGCACAATCATTGGCTTCTTTGGTAGCTGGAAGAGACTGCATGGAGAGAGGTTGCAAAAGGCTGCTGGAGGAGCAGCATGAGCCTCAGCCGGGGGGTCTGTTGATACGTAGGTGGAGGTGGGGTGGGAGCTACACTAGATTGATCTATATATACAAAGCATTGCGGATAAGTCAACTACCAGGGCAAAAATGGGAGAGATTTGATAAGGTGCGGGAATCCGTGCACCAGGCTGGCAGAAAAAGCCTAAGACACTAGGCGGAAGAGGATCAACAACCACCGTCAATCATGACGCCTAGTATGTACAGTAGTTAGGCTAGATCTACACTTGGTAAAGCTCCGGGGACATAAATCTGTACCTGCTACACCCGACATACCCTCTCGATAAGATAAGCATTTCATCCTGAGATAGTATTTTGTTTTTCGACATGGAATCAGTTGCATTGCGAGACCCATATATCAGGCTATCTGTGTCACGGGGCATTCAATTTCATCAGGAGACCACCGAACGGGCTCGTATTCAGTCGATGGAAGATGGATTGGCCGCCAGACCAACGCAACAGTCTGGGCTATCGCCTGCTCAATGGCATCCACTAATATTTTCGACTGCAGTCCGAGGGGGCAGGAATCTCCCTCACACTGGTGGGTACAATATCCCTTCGCTTCCGAAATGCGTATTCGAATCTCAGCCATTGAGCACTTCTCAAACGGCCCCACGGAAGGCCAGAGCTCAGCCCTTGTCAGCCCGTCGACGTACTGAGCAATGCGCGATTCTCGTGAGCAAAACACTTTGTCCCACTGTCTGGAATAGCACAAGGGGCATTTTCTCTCCGTCGCAGGGTCAGTGTTCTCGCATGATTTGCACAACTAGCAATTCATCCGCGCGCAACTGCTATCCGTTGCAAGAGTTACCTCGCCCGCTTGAAGTTGTTTGTGGATGGCCCGTAGTTGTGTCTGTATGTGGTTGCCTAGATCACCTTTTGCCTATCAGAATATCTGGCATGGTCTTAGGCGTGGAGAACCTACGACAAACACTTGACGGAAGCAGGCCCAGGAGGTCTACCCCGTCCCAGGTGTCGACAAACTGGGGAGAAAGGTTAATTGAGCTTGGATAGAAAGTCGGGCATAATGCTCTGCGCAATGAAAGAGATATGCAGCGAGAAGAAGATGGCCATGATCCTCCGGCGTCTCAATATGGGTAAACCTGCCCAGCCAGTTCAAGATCTAAGGCCGGAGAGCACTGTTGCAGTCGTACTCGTCACAGTGAACAGCAATGACGGCCAGATGCCTCGCACTCAACGAGTCCCCATCTTCAGACCCTTGGTAGTGAAGAGCTTGTAGAATTGTCATCATGGCACCCGGGTTATCCTCAGGTAGAGTTAGGGTCGGACGAGTCGAATTCTTCATCTGGTTCCCCTCGCGGAACCCCGACGTAAAAAGTTTTGCAAAGACGGGCGAGGAGAGAATCAGAATTTTGATGACCCCAAGGATCGGCCCGAAGCTGCACCGGTGATCAGTAGTACCGCGTCCCCATTTGGATCCAGTGTCTCGAGGGGACACTCCGTGGCTGGAGATGGAGCACATTTTGAGATCTCGTCTGGCATGATGTGTTATTGCGAGTGCCACGGTATGCAGAGAACTGATGGTGATGGGATTTGGACGAGAAATTGCAGGGCAGTGAGGCACTAAAAATGGCCTGGTTTGACCTCATTTGGATACTCCCGGAAATACCTCATCATGATTGGATGCAGTGTATAACGGAGCCAAAGGCCGGGAATCATACATTTGCCCGAACCCCCTTCACCGAATCGGCGGGTTGGGAAGATTCGAGACAGTATTGAATACTGCTGTGAGATGATCCGAGCCAGCCATGAAATAGGCATGCCGATGGGTGCTGGCTATTGTTTTACAAGGTAGTTATCCGCGTTCGCCGCCGGGCTGCCACTTGATGCGATCACTTGATCATACGATAGCCCTCAATCCCTTCCTGTACCATTCCAGCCTCGTGCGCATATTTTCTGAGGGACCACACTAATTGAACAGTTCTTGCATTCAGGCAATATATCTCTAGTGATGCACGCGGCTGTTCCTCAGACCGGCGCCAAGTTATAAATCTTCTTGATGTCACGCAGCGTCTCCTCGAAATCAATCTCCAAGTCCCGAAGCAGGCCGGTCTCCATGTCAAAGATCCAGCCATGCACGACGGGGAACTGGTGCTCGTGGAAGCTCTGCTGCACGGCGGCAGTCTTGATGATATTGCGGCACGACTCGACGACATTCAACTCGATGAGGCGCTTGTAGCGGGCGGTCTCATCCTTGATCTCATCCAGCTCGCGCTCGTGCAGACGGTAGACATCCCTTATGTTGCGTAACCAGGGGTTGAGCAGGCCCAGGTCGGAGGGGCTCATGGCGGCCTTGACGCCGCCGCACTGGTAGTGGCCGCAGACAACAATGTGTTTGACGTGGAGATGACGAACGGCGTAGTTGATGACGGACATGACGTTGAGATCGGTGTTGGGGACCAGGTTGGCAATGTTGCGGTGAACAAACACCTCCCCGGCCTCCAACCCCATGATCTCATTGGCGGGAACACGACTGTCACTGCAGCCAATATATCTGCATTGGAAAGAGTCCGGGGGTCCACAAGGTCAGTCTCAGTGCTACTACCACTGTCTCTCCAACAGCTAGTCCGTTTCTTACAAATATTCGGGGGTCTGGCCAGCGTTGAGTTTCTCGAAGAAAGCGGGGTCTTCCTGCTTCTTGGCGGCCACCCACGCGCGGTTGTTCTCAAACACCCGCTCATGGGAGTGTTTGAGATACTCGGGGACCGATTCTTGGGGGGTGTCTTTGGAAGAGCACATTGTGGGGGGGTTTTGGTGGAATGATGTGATGTCAATTGTGACTGGGACTGGGGGAACCAAGAGGAGGGGAAAGAGAGGAACTGCCACGTGTGTTCCGTATGTGCCCCGCCCGCTGAACTACGGCTACCCATTCCACCCTTCCACGCACTTCCTGCCTTATCTTATCCATCATCATCATCAGATCAATTAATTCGCTCTAGTGGGTATCGTTTAGTTATCTATCCATCAACAATGTAACAACAACATCAACAATCAGCCTCAGTAATCTGATATCCCGTTTTCGATGTGCGGTCATACACCACCCCAAAGACCTGGACATCGTGGTCATGTGCTTGACTCAACGACTGCACCTGGCCGAGGATGTTCAATTCGACCATGGCTCGGTCCCGTTCCTGACCGCTGGTTTGGTCGAGAGCGTGATTGTGCGCCGAACGAATCATGTCAAGGGCTCTACTCCAAGGCTCCGGAACGCAAGGATTGGGCTTCCCCTGAACAATGTGACAGCCGTAATGCCCGCATACGACAATATCCCGAATCTGCCACCCGGTTGTTAGCCGGGTGAAGCGAAACGCCGATTCCCTTACTGACCTTGAGTTGCTCCAATGCATAGCCCAGCGTGGTCTGACAAGAAAGGTCGTCGATCACCATATTTCCCAGATTGCGATACTCCAAGACCTGATCGGCCTGGAGACCCAGGGTCTCCAGCTCATCGTAATCACTATCCGAGCAGCCAATCCACAGCACCTGCTTGCCCGGGACTTGCTGCCAGGGCATTGAGTCTGACTGGACCTGACGAAGCTCGTAGCGGGTGCGGAGTTGGTCTCTCATGGTGTGAAGTGGTGCGGCGCGGGAGGGCACGAATTGGGGTCGAAGAAGTCGGGGGAAAGCCGCGGGACGAGAGCAGAACATCAGTAGAAATGTGTGCGATAGGTGTTGATGGAGCGAGGTTGAGATGTTGGTGATCAAGACTTGGTCTTATACAGCCGGACATAGAGGGAGGTTGCCCCAGTACTACCGTCGGGCAATGACTTTGAAACACGCGCAACTATAAATGCATCGATTGTCCAAGGCAAAGTGGACTCGGCCGAAGCGGCGATATCTCGGTGGACTCAAATCCCGGCCGTTATTTGATCGACCCTCCGCATGACGATATGCAGGCAATTTCCGAGTTTTTCTCTATTTCCTCGTGTGCTATCGGCCGAAGAGATGGCTATAGCCGCGGGATAAGCCCCATGCCGAACAGTCTGTTTGCCCCTGATCCAGAGTCCAGACAATCTTTCGTCAGAATCCTCGGGCCCGATCTCAGCACTGTACTCGGCCGTACCCTCTCCCTCCCTGGTCAGATGAGTTATGAGTCGGCAAAGTATTCCACGATATGCCGCAAGTTCAGCACTACTGACAACCTGCAAGAAATCTCTTGATGTTGACGTATAGTTATCTGAGCCATGCCTCCAATATTCTGGCCTTCAATGACTAAATCGATGTGCGGCAGGTCCTGATTTGACTAGCCGGGGCGAGTCTTGACGCAAGGCAGCGACCAAGGTCGATACTCCCGGGTTCGTCGAGGTACGTACTATGTACTATGTAGAAGAAGGCTCGGAGTGAAGGCCGAAGGAGGGCAGGTGGGGCTGAAGAAGAAATTGAATCAATAAAGAATAATTATAAGAGTGCAGGGGCCGAGAGTTCGGCCGGGACTGGAGCCATGGATTTATCGATCATCATATGGATCCGCCCCTCTCCCGGTGGGTCAAGCAGTCAATCCCTTGAAGATTTTTAAACTATCATCCAAGGCTCTTACTGAGTAATCAGACACCGTTGTTGTCCCCGCCGGTGACATAGAGAAACGACGAAACACTTTCATCTGTTGCACTCTATAATGCTCATAATTCAGAAACAGACCTAAATGAACAGAGTTGATTCAAGTTCAAACACAGAATACGAATAAAACTAACGATGATATGCAATTTGACTCGGAGCGAAAATATTCCCGCCAGTTACCACCCAAGTTGTGAGAGAGAGAAGGCTCAATAACCCCGGTCGCATCCGAGGAGAGACCTGCCATGCCCGCAGTACATGCGAGCGCAGACGCGAACAACAGCCGACTCGATAGAAAACCCTAAGTACATTCAACAAAGCCACTGCTACTGCTGGCTCCAGTGTGAGTGATCAGACCCGCCAACTTGTCCGCCGTGTTGAAAATAACCCGATCGGCCCCAGGAGATCCTCCGTCATACACAGCGCCATCGCTCAAGATCGGGAACTCATAGTAGGTCCCCGAGACACTGAAGTCGAAGCCCTCATAGTCATGGTAGACGTGCGGATAGTCGTTGAGAGTTTCACCGGATTTGTACAGCGAGTAGCCTTCCGCCTGCGCCGCACTCACCGCACTGGAGGTGTAGCAGTGGCTGCCACAGGTATAGGCACAGCTGGCACGCTCGACGTTCTCCTTAGGGAAAGGGGAGGCCAGTGCGGCTGAGAGGAGGAGAGGGAGGCACACGAGCGCGGTCTATTGGGCTCAAATCAGTATATCGACATCAAGCACGTCGAGTGGTAATCGAAAGGCAATGTCTCCCACCTGCAACTGGAACATCTTGTTTGGCTGGCCTGCTGGATCACTCGCTGATCTGGGGAGGAGGAATGCTGCTGCAAGTGTGTGGCTGATATCTCTTCCTCCCTGGCAATCACGGACTATTTATGTCGTCGTCGGCGCCGTCTTCATCGTAGTCGTTGCCGACCATGTTCTTCGTTCTCCTCATCGGCCAACTCCTATCACCGACCTGCAAAGACAAGCAGGCAGCATCTCCAATAAAGTGGGTGATAAGATAACCCCATGCCAAGAAGGGGCCAAGACCAGCCAAGGCGGGCACGTTGTCGAATCCGCAAGCGGGAAGAGTGCTTTCGCATCATTCTAATTTGATATAGATTGATATAGATTGGGTGCCTGCTGATCTTCACCGCGTCCGTTCTTCGCGGCAGTCCCCGTCAGCCTGACACTCCGCCGGAGATCCTTCCCTACACCCAATCGACGATAACGACCCAGGCATGTGACAGTGTGCGGACAGATGTGATGATTTAGCCGGCTGGAGAAGCATGCAGCCCAAGTGCGACCTCGCCGTATCAGGGTCTAAACCTGAGCACGTGGTTAAGCTCCAGCACCGGTGCCTACAGATGTTCGGCTTCATCTATGAAGTAAAATATGAGGCATTGTGCAGTGTTGTGACGGACTGGCAACTGGTATGTGGGCCGGGCCACGGAATGAGCAAGGTACTGACTCACGTAAACCATCAATTATCCAGGGCCTTACAGACATGAAGTGAGAACTTGCGGCCAAAGTGAGATCTATTCCACTGTTTTCCATTGAGCCTCAAGCTGAGCAACGCGCGCCGTCTCGTCCATTTGAAGAGAATTCCTGCTCAAGGCCTAGTTAAACTGCAAAATGCCAGTGATTGTTACCGAGACCTACTGGGCGCGACGCCCCGACCAAGTTGTGTGTGCGTTGCAGCATGATCGACGACATCACCATCGTCTGCTGCTGCTGCAGTCGCATGTCCACCAAGGCCATGATCTGCTGCATCACCAGCACACTTAGCGCGTAGTATGCCGCTCGACGTTCAGCGAATGCGATAAATTCCGTCATATCACCTCGGGGCGCGTATAGATCGCAGCAAGCGGAGGGGAGGACCGCTCCCTGAAGGGGTAACCGGGAGGCAAACCCTGTATCCTTGACAAAATTTCCCAAGGAACTCTCACTGATCGTATACTCGTCTGTACCATGCCATTGACGATCCTTAACGGCATTGGATGTGAGACAGAGGGGCAGGTTGCCAATGCGTAGGGCGTATTGCTCGAAGCAAGTCAATCTGCGCGTGCTAACCGCTTCAACAAATCTACTGAAGACTCGTAGTTATCGAGGGTTGATGAGGTTACTAATTTACTAATGCAGCGTCGATGTGGGCTTGGAGGAACAGGCATGAAGTAATTACTAAACCCGTATGGCTTCAGAGTGCCAGCAAAATACTGGGCACAGATCCTGGCTGGTTGGTGCCGTTCATGTTGTAGGTAGCAGTAGACTCTATTTTGAGAATGGCACTTGGGTCTCGTTTCGATGGTAGGCAGCCAAGAGGATTATATGAATCACAGCCAGACCGATGGTAGACGCAGGAATCTCCGCAAACCCTCCGGACCCTTCAGAGTCAGCACTAACTAACCACAGCTCGCAAGGATACTTGAGTTACAGTCCATCCCAAATTAGCATTTCTTGACGGAGAAGAACACTGGCTGGACATCAACCCATTCACTACTTTTTGCTGCCAGCCGAACTTCGTCACCGAGACGTATCTATGTCCTATTGCCACCGTTGCGAGATTGTTGAAAGCTTTTGCGGTGACAGGTGGGCTGGACTCTTCGCATAAGTCGACATAAATTACATAAGCATCTTCACAGTAGCGCTTATGCAGTCTTTCGGGCTTAGCACTAACTACTATCCCTGATCCAGCCACAATGGTTTCAACTTGAAAAAAATAAGTGTTAGCAGAACAGTAGGTGCTTGGGGCTCGGACTCATATTAGGATTGCTTGGCTACAGGGGTTGTGAATGTACTTTCGAGCAGATCTATCTTCGCGCCCTCTATCTTGTGCCGCGATATATCTCGATGCTCTCTCACAGCTCGCCTACCAACCTGGCTCAAAGATCATGTTGTGCATGTCTTCCAGACATAATAGTATCCACTAAAAGTGCCCAAGAGTCCTCATTACGAGGGAAATTGAGATAAGTTCACGCCGTATCAACAGTCGAGTTTCTCGTATTGCATCCTTGGTAACATCGATGAATCCTCGGCAGTCGACTTGTCTTCGCCACTAAAATTGCCAAATCCGGCCAGCTCGAAGGCAGCCAGGGAACACACTGCCATTCACCAGCAATGTATTGACGGACCGAGCTAGAGGTCCCTCGTATAATCGAGCTTGCATGATGTCAATCAGTGCCAGTCTTTGCTGTACAATGCTCGAAAGGTATAAAAACCACCGGACTTCACTCTTCCCAACGGCAATTGAAGCACATGCCCGTTTACTCACCCTGCATCCGATCAAGGCTTCATCATCTGCTGGGTAACTCCTCCAAGATATTTTGTGACCGCACCCACACTATCGCAACCCTGTCCAGTGAACCTCCACAATGAAGCTGACTACCCTGGCTATCACATTCCTTCTAGGCACATCCACTGCCGCCGCCTGGGAGCTTCGCGCCAACGGCCAGAAATGGACGGGCACCAGCCCGCAGGGCTGCACCGCTGTCAACATCCCCAGGGGCGCGACGATTAGCTGGTCGGGATCATCGGGCGCTCGGACACTGCAAGTATACAACGTGAAAGGACGTTGTTCGCAGGTATATCGAACCGTGCAGGGAGTGGGTGATATCAATGCTTCGAACAACATTTACGGATTTGTGGTGAAGGCTTGATGGAAAGGATGCAAATCAGTTGTTAGGAGTGTTGTACCAAGTTCATTGGATGTGGAGTAGGAGCTATTTGGTAGTGGGAATTGTATCGCAATTGTCAACAGCCAGGCGAAGGCGCAGAGCAATAACGAAACATTGGAATGCAAAGAAAAGAATAGATGCCATGATTACCCTGCATCGAGGCTTCCTAGTATGAAATTGCAGGACGACAGACACAACCACAGCACCACACTGCCCCTGGAAAAGGCTCGTGCGGACTGCGAGATCTGGGGCTGAGTATGCCAGCAAGTCGTTCTACTGGGTGGTGTTTGCCTCGATCAGACTCAGGAGAACACATTCAGCTTCTTTTCCTTGTGGAGAAAGATAATGTAGTAGATCTGCTGTGAGGGCGAAATGTCTGACCATGCTCTCGTCACGTTCTTTAATCTCAGAAGGTCAACCTTTTGGGGCTTCTCTTTCGTGTCCCAGTCATAATATTGCTTCTTGTCACTGTCGGCCATGTAAGCGTTGAGGGTGGCCAGCATCGGTCTGGAGATCTCTAGACCCTGAAGTAGGTTGGTTGCCTTATCGATGAGTATCGATGAGCTCTCTTTCCGTGAGCTTTGTGTTGTCTGGAGTGTTTCCATGCTCCTGGTTCGGGTACTCCACTTTTTGCCCCATGTTAGGATCGATACCATCGATTACGCTGACCAGAGACACAGTTTGTGATTGCTATAGATATTTATTCGCTGAACTAGACCAGATGTCGTCGAGAAAAGCTTGCAGTTGCATTCTATAACTCACCTCGGTGATTCCCCGATTACGATAGTCTTTGACGGTCGCTGCCCATGCTGAAGGGCTGGAGAGATTCCTCAGCATTGTTTGCCATCTGAGAAAGTCAAGAGCTCGGGCTTACTTTGAGCAAAGCACTGTATCTCCTCCGCGGGCCTCCCAAGTCAAGGCAGCATTCCCGACCGTCTGACCCTGTCCAGAGGTCTTTGTCTCGCTAGTAGTGCTCGCATAAGTCACGCCAAAGCTCACTTGCGGCGCTGCGAAACTAACCTCAGCAGCCCTGCGAGTCTCTTCCTTGGCTGCATCAAGTTGCTCAGTGGTCTTGACTTTGACATCCCTGCTGCTACGCAGAAACCCGCCCAGGATGACCTTGCTGGGAAACGCATCACCTGTGACCCAAGGAATAAGCGCCTTCATATTTCAAAGCGTTGAAGTCCCAGATTGATGGCCTGGTGGTAAGGGTTCAAAAAGCGATTGAAGGCATACAGACCATCCGAGATATCTTTCGCCATTTGGGAGAGACGCTTGAGCCAGTCATCAAGGCCATCAACAAGATCGAAAGGGGCACTCACTCTCCACTGTTGGCCATCCGAGATTCCAATATCAGACATGGTATCAAGGAAGCTGTCACCAAATATGACGAGGTACGTATTGCTTGAACCATGGACCTGGACCAGGTCGTCTCGCCTGAATTCGCATCACGCGCTCTTGATGCTTTGACAGGGCTAACGGAAACACTTTCAGATTATTGAACAAGCTGAAGACTTTGCGAAGCAGCTCAGATCAAGGTAATTGAGGCGTAGACATGATCTTTCCCTGGGGTTGCACATATTACTCTGCGGCCCTTCCTTCAGACAGCATATCATACTGAAGCCTCGGATCATCCTGTCGCTTTCTGGGATATGCACTCTGCTTTTCACATGTACTGTGTCGCTGTAACTCTTCTAATCTTCATTGAATTTTATTGCTTCAAGAAAAGACTGCAGGCATAGAGCGAAACATCGATAGTAGTTTCTATCACAGTGGCGGGAAATTCACATATCTTGAAGTCTCAGAGTCTATCTCACTGAGAAGCATTGTACCATGTAATCGAAAGACTACTAAGAGCAGTAAAGCTTATAACTGGCCGCGAGCGACACCGGTGCCATTAGTGATATGCAAAACATGTCTGAAGTTGTCAAAGCCCTGAAATATCTTGTGCTGAGGTCTGTGGGTTGCTCGTTATCATCGCTTCCACCGAGGCGTAGCGCTGTACATCTCATATACTCGACTCAACTATTCGTCCGTTTGACTATTCCAACTGTGGTCAACGAGACACATATTATACAAATTGATAGCTACCCCTCGAGCGTCTCTAGCGACTAATCCACCGACGCCGAGGACGGGCCCAGCTTAAAGCCCCCAGTACAGCCTGTCTGAAATAGCCCGTCGGGGTCATACTGCTGGCCTATCTTCCTCAGGAACTCCAAGTTCTGCTCGCCGTACCCAACCAATGGACACTGCCATTTCTCGCAGTAGTTCAAGTAGCGGTAAGAATGGCTCGTGCCATTGGCTTCAGCGATAGCGTTCACTTTGTCCAGAATCCCACGAACCACCGAGTAAACGTACTCGTCGTTATGAGCCCCGTCCCAGTCAATGGACAGATTCACGACGATTAAAGGCTCGTCTGTGCTCTCGTGGACACCGATGACATTGGGGTCGCCCTTTGCGGTCCACGAGGGCAGCAGAGGCTGCACGACCATTGTCCACATGGAGCCCTCCACCTTGCGCAGGGACGCTGTTGCCTCTCGAAAAACGTTGCGGGCAGCCATGATGGTAGCCAAGTCATTCTTGATGGTGGTAGTCCCAAACGAGCTTCGCTTACTGGGCCAACAGCCTCGGTTAACCTCCTCGACGGCGGAAGTGACAGATTGCACCCTGTGGGTGCTCCAGTATCTCCACAGGGCGGAGAAGCCAGAACGTTGCCAAAAGGCCGGCCATTTTTTCGGGGATTCTGGTGTCTTGGTATAAGCCAGCTGTAGAGCAAGCAGCCGCATACCGATGGGCTGAAGATAAACATCGCAGACAATGGCTCCCGCAGCATAACTGTCCACCTCCGCACCGCTGCTCTTAGGATCCATCCGCTTGACGCTGTCATGTAGAGCCAGAAGAGCCTTGGAGCATTGCGAGCCGGGTGCGTATATGTAACCGCTCCAGATGGGGCTCGAGAGAAAACAGCGCACGGTGAATCTAGTAACGACGCCGAAATTGTTGGAGCCACCCTTCAATGCCCGCCAGAGTTCCGGATGGGAGCTCGCTGTGGCCGTGACTATCTCCCCGGAGGCCAGAACAACCTCGTAGGCAATGACATTCGAGCATGCTAACCCGTACCGGGGGGTGAAGAAGGAGATTCCGCCTGGTTGAATGTGTCAATGTGTTTACAAGGCGATGTGGTGATTGACTTATACCTCCCAGAGTAAACCCGCCCACTCCGACATCGGCACTTCTGCCTCCCACCACCCCGAGATTTAATTCGTCCAAGATGCGCGAGACATCGCCCCACCGGGATCCAGCTCCAATCACTACACTTTCTCGGTCCTCGGCGACCATCACCTCGCGGAAGTGGGTGAGATCGATCAGTACGCCGCCCTTGGCACTCGCAGCTCCCGTCAGTGGGGATTGGCCTCCGCCTCGAACAGCAAACAGAACGTCGTCGGACATCGCTCCTGAGCTTTGTCGCCGCTGATGCTCCCCCTTGAGGATTTGGATCGCGGTCGACACCTCTTGAGTAGTGCGTGGCTGGACAATGACCGCTTGAATCACATCGCGCTCCTGTCGGGCGAAATAGGTGCTAAGCGATTGGCGGAAGAGTTCGCCATCGCGATGAAGGAGTAGCACACTCCCTTGCGGGAGAGCCTTCACTAGCCTTTCACCCAGAGGATGAGGAATTGGCGGTGTGGAATCTTGCAGGGCAGGTTTCAATTCAGGTGGTGAGCTTAATCTGCCCAAGAAGCGGAACACCAGCACCACCACGGCCGTCGCAATGGCCACCGAAGGGAGAAGAGCGCCCATGGTGATATGTCATAAGGCAACAGGGTATTCCGAGATCCAAAGTCGTAAGCAAAAAAGAAGGAGAGAGAAAGGGGAGAGAAGAGGTGGTTTAAATGTCTCTAGCCAGCCGCACTGATACACGGATGCAGACCCACAGTAAGCAAGATCAAATGGGTGTGGTGGCACCCCATTGGAGGCGCAGAGTTAGGGCATGTCAGCACTAAAGAAAACTAGGTATGTTTGGATTTACATTCCGGGATCATTTGATTGAATACTATTTTTGATTAGAAGGCTCAGAATAACCTCAATTCACCGATTGCTGCTTGGTAATGTGACCCTTGATCAAGAAACAAATGCCCAGGAACAGTCCCTTCTCGAACGAGTCTCGGAGATTGTAAAAGCGGACGCCTCAGATCTCCATGGGCTTGACTGGGACATCGCCAATGGCATTGCGAACGTGCTTCCATGCCATGATTTTGCCATCCTGATATGCACACCCGAGAACCATCTCCCACTCAGGGGGGGGCTGCCTGTCGCATTTCCTCTAGCTTGGGCTCCAGAAGAATCCAGGCGGTATTTAGCTTGTCGAATGCGCCCAGTAGTATGTGTTGAAAACACTTGCCATCCTTAAACACGCTGACTGCCTGTGGCTCTTGGCCGCCTGGCGCTTGGATCACTCGAAAGTCGAATCCCGGCTCCCCTTCAAACGCCTGCCGCAAAACACTCACTAAGAGGCTATCGGTCATGGTAATAAAGATATAATCAGATGGTCTGGAGCAAAAGCCCATTTGAGCGTTACGCGGTGGCGTGGGAGCCATTCTGGGTTGTCTGTGAAGTGAATTCGGTGTCGTTGCTAGAATATATATCCTGTCCGAGCGTTGTCGAATATAAGTCTCAAGCAGAGTACTGAGCGAGAAAGCCTTTGTCTTCTATCCTGAAAGGCTGTTTGTCATAATTGGTCAAAGTGCCAAACCCAGGCAAGAGCAATCAAGAAATTCAACGTATAGCAACCGGCTTACAGGACGTCTCAGTGATGGGATAAAGCCATGGAGCATCAGCCAAGAATAGATCCATCCATAAGTCACAAAATAATGCAGGGCGTGTTACCTGAACTTTACATTGGATGTTGGAAAAAAGTTCTAAGCAGTAGAAAAGCACTACCCTTGCTCATGCTTCGCTTGTCTGGGCTCTCTTTATTATCTCACAACAAAACGACGATAAAGAAGGCTCTACCCTTTGTTCAAAAAATGCACTCTTATTCATTCACAAAATACTGTTTGACCCTCGAGTTTACTGAACGCAGTCTTGACTCTTTCAAGCCTTGAACTATGACTAAGCCTGAAGTCCTCTTCGAAAGAACCTGGTTCTCGTATAGCTCCTTCAACAACCTGCGGTAAAGTATACTACTAGTACTGTGGTCTTTTTCGTCTTGGACTGCCAATGGAACCTCAGAGCGAGAAGCCATCGCCTTCGCAAACACTCGTGCTTTCCGTGACCCAGACCAAGACCCCGTCGCGGTTGCCTGCGATACTCTCGGTAAACAGCCGGCAGATATCGCAAGCTGCTACATACACTTACATCCATAGGAAACAGTACTGTCTGCTCACTGTGCTTTGGACTTGAAACCTCCTTGTTTCAGCTCCAATGACTTTTGCGCGAGATGTGGGTATCTTCCTACTGCACTCTCAATTACCAGAGCAAGAAGTTCCTGGTGCGATACACCATGGTGGCGAGCCGTCTCGCTAAGGAAAGAATACCCTGGACACAATCCAGGCAAAGGGTTGACCTGAATAGCTTCAGCATGGATTTGATGAATTCTGGGGTGGATAGCTAGCAACTGACCTCGATAACATGTGGTTTCCCATCGGCTGAGCACCGAATATCCACACGTCCGACGTCGCGAAAGCCCATGAATCTCCACACCCGCAAGGCGAGCGCCTCCACCGCCGCTACCTCCGGGTCCCGCGAGTCGATCGCAAACTTCATCACATCTTTATCGTTCGCTCGGTTCTTGGCATCGACGTCCAGGAATCCTCTTGTGAACGGATCCTTCTCACTCTCGGATTGTGTCCCGTGGCGTTTCTGCGCGGCCTCCCAGTCCAGATGCAAGGTCCCAAGCACGCGTGCGGTCGGGCCGGTGCCGATCAGACTCACCGAGTACTCACGGCCAGCAAGATAGCTTTCGATTAGTATACTCTGCCCGGGAAACTGACGTTGCAGCTTTTGTACCCCTTGTTCGAGCTCCGTTTGACTGTGGACCTTGGAGAACGGATAAATGCCCTTTGAGCTTCCTTCACAGGACGGCTTGATGAACAACGGATATGCGGTCAGGTCGACTGCGTGAGGGCTTGCTTGCACATCTTCCAGGGCATTCTGGGACGTTGGCGAGACGACGGCAAACGGCGCGGTGGCGATGTTGTAGTATTGGAACAGCATCTACGAGGCAGGAATCTGGGTTTAGCACGATCGCGTCGCTCGTCGAGTGGACACAGTTGATGCATGGGGAGAGGGGGCGGTACCTTGGTCTTCGCTTTGTCGAGTGTCATGGTCAGGGTTGCAGCATCGGAAAAGACGCAGGGAATGCGGTATGCTTCGAGCACGCCGGGGATTTGGGCCTCGCGAGCGGCGCCGTGCATCCCCTCCGAGATAGAGAACCCTAAGTCCCATCCCCGATGCTCCCCCTTCGCAATGCGCTGGATCAACTCGTCCATGTCCCCCACCGGAACCACTCGATATCCCAGTCCGCGGAGCGACTCGATCATGCTGTCGATCGCCTCATCTTTATCCAATTCCAGGCACTCCTCCAGGCTGTAGCCTTTGCTTAGGTACAGCGAGATTGTCTCATAGAAGAACGCTATCGTGATTGGAGTGAGGGTCATCGTTTCGAGTGCTCCAGGCTGTTGGCAATGGGTACCGTACTAGTCGCGAGGTCCAAGTGAGGCCCCTCACTGGTTCTTAAGATGGTGTCATGAAGAAGCTTCGGTCTCGAGGCCAGTCAGAGTGTGCGATGGCGGGCGATCATCCCTTGCATTACAAAAAAGCGGTGGACACGTCAGCATGCACGTACATTGCTGCATTTGGCGCATGCAATGTCAGCCTAATTCATCACTTTTCAGTGGCCTATCTGAGTTAATCGCGCTTGGAGTCAATGTACGCTCCGCAATGTCTCAGACCGAGTTTTCCGACCGGGGGGCTATAAACCGAGCACGGTTGGGCATGGGGCATTGACTTCCCACATAGCCGGCAAAACCACCCACCATGACTCTCTCCTCACGCACTGCGAAGTCGAGCGTTGGAAAGGTGCGATGGTCATCGGTGGTCAGCAGCCCTCAGTTCCATCCATCGCCCACGGGCAATTGGGAATACTGGCGCAAGGTTCCCGCCTGGAAGGATGTATCTCAGAACGAGTTTCTGAACTACAAGTGGCAGGTATGGCAACTCTCTATTGGGGCTATCCTCTACATTCACAGTCTGATCATAGAATAGATGCACCACTCGCTGCAAAACACCCCGTCTCTTCTTGCCTTTCTGTCTGGAGTCCTTCCGCCCCAAGTCACAGCACCGTCGGGTCACGGTGAAATCACTCGTGACGAGGTGTTGAATGATGTGGTGACTGGACTGAATAAGGCACCGATGGCTACTCGACTGACACCCCACATTCTGGCACTGATCAACTGGGACGAGGTCTACTCCGATCCTATTCGACGACAATTCATCCCAGTCGGCTCCTCGTACCAGCCCGACCATCCCAAACTCACTCTCGACTCGCTGAACGAGACGCATGACTCGCCGGTGAAAGGCCTGGTTCATCGCTATCCCGACAAGGTGCTATTCCTAGGTAAGAGTTCTGAAACCTATTTCTTGAATAATACTAACCCGTCACAGCCAGCTCTGTGTGTCCGGTCTACTGCCGGTTTTGCACCCGATCTTACTCTGTAGGGGCGCAAACTGAGTCAGTCTCCAAAAGGCGATTTCTCCCACTCCGAAAATACTGGGAACCGATGTTTGATTACATTGCGCAGACCCCAGCCGTGACCGATGTCGTAGTCTCTGGGGGCGACACCTTTTTCCTTGAGCCACTGCAACTGCGAGAAATCGGCGACCAACTCCTGAGTCTGGAAAACGTGCGACGGATCCGCTTCGCAAGCAAAGGACTGTCTGTTTGCCCGTCACGCATCCTGGACCCAGATGACGAATGGGCCAACACGCTGATCGCCCTCAGCGAGCAGGGCCGGGCGCAAGGCAAGAGCATTGCTCTACATACGCATTTCAACCACCCGCAAGAGATTTCCTGGATCAGCGAGCAGGCTGCGCAGCACCTCTTCCGTCATGCCGTGACGGTCCGAAATCAGACTGTCTTACTGAATCGGGTCAACAATGACGTCCACACCATGAAGCGATTGATCCGGACGCTGGCAGACATCAATGTCCAACCGGTGAGTTCCCCTGCGGTAGCTCTGCCGGGGAAGCATGTCCGATTAACAGGTCCTACTAGTATTACGTATACCAGGGGGACATGGTACGAGGGGTGGAGGATCTCCGGACCCCCTTGCGCGACATTCTGCACCTCGAATCGCAGATCCGCGGCACGATCGCCGGGTTTATGACACCCTCCTTCGTCGTCGACCTTCCCGGTGGCGGTGGCAAGCGGCTGGCGCAAACTTATGACAGCTATGATCCCTTGACGGGCGTGTCCAGATTCACAGCCCCGGGGGTCAAAGGGGACACTGTTCATGAGTATCATGACCCCATGTGGTCCTTGCCTTCAGCAACAAAGGAGACAAGCACGGAGAAGGTAGCTTTTAGCTCGTAAATACTGCACCTATGTAGTTATTTGATTCAGGGGTAAAAATGCAAGGGAGTGCAGCGTTGCATTCAAAACATACCGATCATGGCCCGCTTCCCCTTTTAGGGCAAATGCTGCCCGATCTGGGATTCGACTGTAAAATCACTTGCCATCTCTTCAAGCGAGCCAAAAACTGCTTCCAGACCTCTGCAATATTCGGACACCTTCTTCGTTTGTAGTCTGGATTTACGCCAACACCGAGGCTTGACTGATGCATGCCATTGTCCCGTCATGAGTGAAGAGCACATGTTAGAATCCTTCCCATCCTCGGGGCGTGCGGATGGGGACATCGAGGAACCCGAGGACTTTGCACTCCCGCATCGCCGACCACCAAATGCACTCCTCTACGCTATCTTTGTGGGTAAGATGAACTTAGACACCTGGTCCATTCATTCATTTACCGCAGCAATATCCACTGACCAACGCTCAGGGTGCTTCATTGCCAGTGCGGACGAGGCGCTGATGATTTCGACCTACACCTCGATTGCCTCCGAGTTCCAGCAGCTCACCCTGGGATCCTGGCTACTGGTCGCGTACAACTGCGGAAGTTGTGTTGCATGCCCGGTGGTATGTACGCCTCCAAAGTCCAGACATGGATATCATGCGTATCGACTAACCCGTAGTGGTGCCTGCGTAGATTGGCGCTCTGTGTGACATCTACGGTCGCAAAAAGACACTCTTGGGATCATATGCCGTTTTCATTGCTGGTAGCTTCCTATGGTATATTTCGCCCATACCACGTCTCGTTTGGTGGGATGCTAATGTTCTGCAGCGGTGTCAGTGGCTCTCTAGTTACGTTAGCCGGGTCGAGGGTGATTGCTGGTGTGGGCGGCGCTGGAATGGTGGCAATGACCTCCGTTATCATCACCGGTATTTATCTTTCTGTTAACTCCGGTGTGCCAATTTGCGATTGACTAGTTTTGCTCAGATTTAATCCCACCACACGAAGTGGCACTGTATGACGGCTACTCGAGCACTATCAATATGCTTGGCCGCAGTGTCGGACCTCCCCTCGGCGGGTTTCTGACGCAGACAGTCGGATGGCGATTGTATGTATCCCTTTCCATGCCGTACACGCTGAGGCCTAATGTCCTCAGGTCATTTTTGGGTCAGATCCCCTTCGCCGTATTGTGTCTTGTTGCTATGATGTGGGGCAAACCACCACCACTGGCTCACCTTGACCGTCAAGTGCATGGGGAGCCCAAGGAATCACACAAAAAAGACATTGATGTCTCTGGTATGCTAACCCTGACATTCATGGTTGTCGCTTTGAGCGCTCTGGTAGAGTATGTGACTGCTCCGGATGCAGAGGGTCAGAATGCAGCGGTCATTTTCTTTCTTTTGGTGGCTACTCTGGTGGCTGGCGTTGGGTTCGCCGTCGTGGAGGCATTCTATGCCACGAACCCGCTGCTACCAGTGCATCTCATTAAAGGACCCTTTGGGGCTTGGTGTCTGATGGAGCTTCTAATTTACATTGGGCGTGGCGCGGTAAGTCTCCCAGATAAGAAATTGCTCTCTGCCCTAGAAAATACTGATCCACGGAATCATGGATAGCTCCTAACGCACCTAACTCCGTATCTCATCCGTGTGGAGGGCTGGAGTGATGCATGGGCATCCTTTGCGTTTGTTGGAAATGTTCTGGGTATCGCATCCGGGGGGCTTGCGGCTGGATATGCGATAAAAAGGTACGTCAGCATTCAGGTTCCGGCCGTGTTGGACTGATTCACTGAAATGTACTCTTGGCAGATACAAGCGATATCGCAAACTCGGGATATCCTCTCATGCCCTCACCACTCTTGCCTACCTCCTGATTTTCGTCGAGTGGCGCAATGGCTGCACGATCTGGCAAGCCGGTCTCCCCTCACTCCTGGGTTTAGGCACCGGGCTCATGTACACCGTCAATTTCATCGGATTGACCACCACCTCTCCGAAAGAAAGTATGCCCGCGTGTATTGGTACGATTGAACTTTGTGAATCTCTCGGGTTTATTGTGGGTCCTGCCATTAGCACTGCAATGATCCAGAAGATGTTTGCACATAGTCTCGCGATGACCATGCCTAGGGTGCCTGGCCTGTCCGAGGTAAGTTTCCGCCTAGTTAAGAACCACCCCAGTTGCAGCTCTGTTGTTGATTGGCTTCAAATAGACAATTCACCTCATCCTCGATGACGCGCGGTTTTCCTTTACCCTCGGCGATGCCATTCAGCAGATCGCGCGGACCAGCTACCTGCAGGCTTTCCGATATGTACCACGTATGAGATACCCTGGATGCAAGACATCCTTGACGCAATTGATGCACATCGGCGTTACTGACAGGATCTCTAGTCTTTGCAACTGTTTGTAGCGGAGCAGCGTTGGCTATTTTCATGCGTACTAATACCGGCGACTTGGTAGAATGACTAATAATCCGATTGTCTGGTCCATGCCGATTAAAGTATCGCGGTAGAGCCAACGGGGATGACGAAGCTACTCCTTTCAATCATACACAGGATTCAATTAGTCAACAATGCATGAGACTGATTAAAGCTTTCTGATCAACAGGAAGATTCCGCATCCTGATGAGATTGATGTACAAAGAAGCTAGTGAGAGACACCAGCAAGACTGCCCTCAATTCGGAAGTAATCATCATTTATCGGGCTGTCTGCCATGCCCCGGCTATCAGTATGACATAAAGACAATTCTATACCAGGAAGGAGGTGTATTTCGCTTGGAACCGTCGAGTCCCGTCTCTGAACGATGAAATTACAACTGTCGCCCAATCTCATAGCGCATTCCATCTTTAGTGACCTGAGTATATATTCAACATCCAAAGTAGTATAGCCAAGATGATCCATAACTTCCGTCCCATCCAGCAACGAGCTCCGTAGGGATTTCACCTCTACTACAGAACGTCGGACTTGAAAGCTACCATAGCTGCATATTTTCCGATAGGCGTCTTGGAATCTCGCCCTATGCGTGAGGAGGGGCAAACTGTTCCCTCGCCGAGCGAAGAAGAATCCTCAGCATCTAAGCCTGAGGGATACGATATCCCTAGCGCGTCCAGCGAAGACAGCTCCTCAATCGCTTCCGAAGACAAATTCACTATTCCCCCGTTCGAGGGAGAACAGGAACCCTTGAACCCTGCCACAGACGATTTAAACCTTAGAATTCCCCTCTGCGTGTATGGCCTCCTCCGACAGATATTCCCCCCGGAAGAGGGCTACCAACATACACACACCACCCGGCACACGGGGGATGTCGACTTTCAAGTGCTGCACGTGGGCCACCCTACCACAGGAAGGTTCTTTTGTCTATTGTCTGGACCCACGCCTTCGAGGGCCCCGTTCTGGTATTCATATTCCGTCTGGCTCGCGATGGAGCTGGATATCATGGAACGCCTCACCACCCCGGAAACACCGATCACTGGGATGATCTGGCGCGAGGGTGAATTCGGGCTCTACGAGCGCCGTCGGGTAGACGGAAGCATCATCACGGCGCCGGGAACCATCGTTCATGACCGAAGGCACTCCTTCGATGTCGTTGAGTATTGGCTCTTCCTCGTGAAATTTCTTCTGGGATTCAGGAGCGATGTTCATTATCGTGACATCCCAATGATCCCTTTCGAGGCACAGACCTAGGGCTCATCTCCACTGTGTAGATCAGGTTTTTACCTGTTCCAAGCGTAGGCGTAGTTTCCTTGATCTTTCCACAATTCATTTTCCGATACAAAGCCCTGCCATTCATGATACCTGTTTTTTAGAATCCCAGATTTTTCATTCGATCTCGTTGCAGTCTGCTGGCTCACCTTAGCTACCAATACTAAGCGGTATATCATAAGAGCGTTCATGAGTCAAAGAACATCAGCCGTCCAGGCGTCCGCAAAAGTTGGGTAGGTCTAGACAGTCAGCTTTCTTTCATAACAGATAGTAAATAGCGGAAGGGTAACTGCCCGATTGTTAGAGCTTCGAAAGGAAAGCTGGGGGAAGACGAAAAGGAACAATGAAAGGAAAAGAAGATCTAGAGCTCTCACTATAACAGGTACACTATATCTCAAGGCTACGGAACCTCGATTCCTCAGAACTTAAGCTCAACGAATACACAGGCGGATTTACGATTAAAAATGTCTGGGTTTCTTGACAAGATCGGGAGTTTGAACAGAAATCGTTTTAAGCATTTTAACAGCATCTTGATAGCATAATTGATATGATCCCGACCCTCTTACTCTTCCCTGTGGACTGAGCTGAAATCCCCATGCAGCTTTTATATACTGTACTGTACTGTACTGTAGTCATTACCCGGGCAATACACGAGATAAGAGAGCTACACATAAGTTGGCCGCGGTAATCTTCCGCCCCGCTTGTCTGAGCCAAATGGATAATTAGCAGGAACCACGACATTTCTTTCTCAGACATTGCTCCTGTTTTGCTTTCAATCCATAATGGTACTGTACCTCACTACGACACCCACATCATGACTCAAACAACCACAAGTCCTGCCATTCCACCCGCCTGGCAAGCCAGAGCCTCAGCCAAGCGCGAGGCGATCCTCTCCGCCATTCCCACCGAATGGCGCATCCCCGCTCCCATCCCCACCCCCGACATCCAACCCAATGTGACCGGAAAATACATCCAGCAATATCTTTCCCCGCGGGAGATCGAAATCACCGAATCCAACGCCGAGACCATCGTCTCGCACACAACAAAGGGAACATGGACCGCAGTGGAGGTCGCATCGGCCTTCTGCCACCGTGCAGCCCTGGCCCACCAGCTCGTTCGTCTCTTCCCCCCCATTTCTAGTAACCCCTCATGCAACCATAACCACCATGGATAGGTCCCATGCTTGCTCGAAATCTTCTTCAACCGCGCCCTATCCGCAGCAAAAGAACTAGACAGCTACTTCACCACTCACCAAAGACCCCTAGGCCCACTCCACGGCCTCCCCGTCAGCCTCAAAGATCAATTCCACATTTCGGGGGTGGAAACGACCATGGGCTACGTAGGCTGGATCGACACCTTCGAAGGGAAGCCACGCACCTCTCTCCCGCCTCACGAAAGAGACCAAGAAAGCGAACTGGTCCGCCTCCTCCGCGCCAACGGGGCAGTCTTCTACTGCAAGACCAGCGTCCCGACCACCCTGATGGCTGGGGAAACCTGCAACAACATCCTGGGGTACACGTATAACCCACTCAGCCGCCAGCTGTCGGCCGGGGGCAGCTCGGGTGGGGAGGGGGCGTTGCTGGCGCTGCGGGGCTCGACGGTGGGGTTCGGGACGGATATCGGCGGGAGCATCCGCGTCCCCGCCGCCTTCAATGGGATCTACGGCCTGCGGCCCTCGGCGGGGCGCTTGCCCTACGAGGGCGCCGCCAATTCAATGGATGGGCAAAACACTATCCTTTCGGTGGTGGGACCGATGGCGACGAGTGTCCAGGGACTCAAGTTGCTGGTGCAGGCGGTGCTGGCGCAGGAGCCGTGGTTTGTAGATCCCTTGGTGGTGGAGATGCCCTGGCGCCATGCGGTGGAGGAGCGCGTACGGGCCGGGGCGGAGGGCAAGGGGCTTACTTTTGCGATCATGGAGGATGATGGCACGGTGAAGCCCCATCCACCAGTTCAGCGAGCACTGGGGCTGGTAAGATTGTTGTTGGAGCAAATCGGCCACCGGGTGAGTGTGTCGCGTGCGGTGCAATGGATTTCAAACTTACCTAGTGCTTAGGTGACCGATTGGAATCCCCCGAGTCATGCCACAGCTTTCGATATCGCGGTACGTCCTGAACCCGGATCACAGAAGAGTAGCAACGCTGACCGCAAAAGATGCAAGCATGGCACATGGACGGCGGAACAGACGTCCAAGCCCACCGCGCGCTCGCCGGCGAGGAACAGCTCCCGGAGTGCTTCTTGCGGCCGAGTGAGCACCTCAACGCCGCACAGGTGGCAGCCTTGAACGTTAAGAAGCGCAACTATCAAAAAGCGTACATGGACTACTGGAACTCCACTGCAACACTCACCGGGACCGCACGGCCGGTGGACGCGCTGATATGCCCGGCTTGCCCCTCGGTGGCTGTCCGACCAGGGAGGTTCAAGTACGGGGTGTATACCACCTTTGTCAATGTGCTCGACTATTCCAGTGCGGTTTTCCCGGTCACGAAAGTGGACCGCGCGGTGGACGGGGAGCACAGATCCGGTGCGCCCTTGGGTGAGATGGATGCCGAGGTACAGTCAGATTGTAGGTATCTGTCCGGTGAATAGGAAGAACCACACTTGCTAATGTTTACAGATGACTGCGACGACTGTCATGGGGCTCCGGTTGCATTGCAGCTGGTGGGCCGCCGCTTCGAAGAGGAGAAGGTGTTAAGTCTGGTTGAGTACATTCAGGGTCTTATCAATGAGGCTACCCAGAGGATGTAGCCATTGGGGTATTCTAATGACGAGTTGGCAAAAGTCTTTTTCAAGTTGCGGTTGCTAGTATCTTCTCGATTTGTAGTCATTTGCCCCCCTCTAGGGAAATTTATTGCCTTAAACTATTATGCCAGCTGCAATAGTGTCGCATGTGTGACTCCCCAGTACTCTCCTTTCACGTTTCACGTTGCATAAAACTGCACCCTTGGCAACACGACGAACTTCGAATCCTCTACTGTCATCGTCTAAGTAGACGGCGATTCTCCGCGCAGCACTACTCCGCCTCCCCCTCGCTCTCCCCGGTCGACACCGCAGCATACCTCTCTCCCCCTTTCAGCCACCGCTTACGAAGAGCATAGAATCCCGCCCCAATCACCCACAGCACGATCAGAATAAGCGCCTGAAACGGCGCAAACACCGCCCCACGCGTCACCACAAACCCACTCACAAGTGCAAAGACAATCGGGATCCCCAGAAAGGGCTTGTAGGGCCGCTCGAGGTCCGGTTCGCGGAAGCGCAGCAGGATCGCGCCAACCACCGTCAGGAAAAAGAACGAGTACTCTCCCAGACCGTTGAAGGTAAGCAGAGCTCGGAAGTTGCCAAAGAGAATATAGAAGATTGGCAAGATGGTCGATAGGATGATGGCGTTGATGGGTGCATCGGAGCCGAGGCTGTGGTTCGGGTCGGAGGAAAGCCGTCCCAGCTGACCGATAACTCCCAGGAGTTGCGGCAGCCAGTTCCTGTTGGCAGCGGCAACGACCATACGGCCCGCGACAAAGGAGTTGCCCAGTAGAGATCCGGCGACTACGAGACAAATCAAGATCGCGGCGATGATGCCGGCTGCGGGGCCTAGAAGATGCGTTATGGCGGTCTGATGGCGTTAGCTGCGCCCACGAACAGAGACAGTAGGGTTGAAACGTACAACAGCCACACTATCTGTCGTGGAGACCACGTTCCATGGTAGGAGAATGTAGTATGCCGCATTGGCCGCAATGAAGCAGAGAATGATGATAGGCACGGCGGAGTTGATAGCCAAGGGAAGCTGGCGCGCCGGGGCGGAAAGTTCTGCGCTGATGTAGATCGCCTAGAAAAATGTCAATGATACCGCCGGCTGCTGTAAGAAGTGCCTTACTTTGTCCCATCCAGAATAAGCCCACAGTGCACCATACAAGGCGGTCGAGTAGTACCCCAGCATCTCCCACCCAGCGACGTCATGCCAGTCAATCAGCTTTCCATCCGGAGTGGCCGTGTTGCGATAGCCGAACCAGGGATTCTGGAACCAGTCTCGGGACCCATGGGCACTGTCGGACTTGGCTAGATGGGCGATAATAACACCAAGCCCCGCTAGCACCACCGCAGCGATGGTGACGAACTTGGTGCTGACGAAGAACCCGTTGAGCCGCGTGCTGACCTTGGTGCTGATAGAATTCGCAACACTGACCACGACAAGAATCAAAATGGACAGCAGCTTGTGCGACAGTGCTGCAGCCTGATCAGTCACACCAGCTGCCGAGTAAATGCTCTCGACGAACACGATGCTGAGAATGGCCAAGGTGGCCGGCATGACCGCAATGATCCACGTCCAGGCCGCCAGAAAGCCACAGAGATCACCGAAGATATACTGCAGATATGGCTGCACACCACCTGGACCATATCCTGTCAGCGACTAGAAACAGCAGGAGTTACAATGTAGTGGATGGATCGGTACCTTCACCAGGAATGGCAGTGCCCAGCTCGGCCATAGTCGTGGCGCCGGTCCAGGCTAAGATCCCACCCACAAGCCATACCACGAGGGCCACTCCGGGCGACGGAACATTGGTATCGATAGACCCGGGGGAAGTAAAGACTCCACTTCCGATCACGATGCTGATTATGATGCCGAAAGCTTCGACGGTGCCAAGGTTTCGCTTGAATCCACCGGGGCGCTGATCTTCCACGGTCGCACCTTGGGCAGTGGCTGCATAGTTTCTCTCATCCGGTTGCGTGAGTAACGGCTGGACGGCTCCATCCAGGGAGTCACGGGTAGAAGCCATGATTGCGATGATTGTTTGGTTGCGGAAGGATGGTGATAAGCAGAGAAACAATTGAAGGAGTCACTCCGATACGATCACGCCATCAGACACGCAGATTGATGCTGCCGATGCCCCGCACTTCAATCGATCCCGCCGTTGAACCTGAACTCAGTTGGGAAATAACAAAGACCGTGGATGTGTCCGCAGGAAGGTCGCTCACTAAATGTCTCCGGGATATGTTGTGAGAATGGAGAGAAGCTGGTTTGATATTATCGTCGCTGACCGCCTGGATGGTTGACGCTGACATGTGACTCTTCCCTTAAGTTATCAGCTACCATTAATCAAAGTCATATGACCACCTTTATGTGCCTGAGGCATCAATACCAGGGGTCTCTGTACTCCATGCTCCGTCCTATCATGTATAAATTGCGTGTTAATTTACGTCAAGCTCTGGTCCTACTACAAACTCAGCCAGATAGAACTCTCGTACCAGATTTACTCATGTAATATTCGGGCTATTGACCTGTCTGTACACACACATTACATTACTCTAAATCTAACATAATCGCTAATGTGTCGCTTCGTGAAGGTTTGTGTGTCGGCTTAATACAAAAACGACATCGGGGTAGCAGCCCCGCGCGAGACGCTGCGGTACTCGTGAACAGCAAGATGGGTTCTTCCCCCTTTTACTGTCTCATCATCAGAGCCAGGATCAGGAGGCGTGAATTCCCCGTCAGCGATGGGCCGGATGTAATAATGGTGGCTATCTTCGACCATGCCCACGTGCCAGCGATCCTGAAGTTCGCGACCCGTGGGCCCTCCTCCGCATGCCCCGTGCAAACGTTCCGTCGGTGGACTATTGATCGCCAAGGCGAACATACTCGAAGGCTCGGTGAAGTCGTTGAGTAGGCGGCCGCGGACTTCGACCATGAAAAAGGCCATGAAGAGAACACTCGTGAGGAAGGCCAGGACAAGGACCACGTAGAAGCTCTTCTGCCAATTAACAGCGTGACCAGAAGCATAGCCCGAGGACTGAAGAGTGGCGTTGAAGATCTGTTGCACCGGAGAAGGGAGAATCTGATTCGCGTAGCCGCTATAGTTCCAAAAGGGAACGTAAGGGGCGTCCTGACTACTGATCATCAGAGTAACACTGGTCAACACCGCCATAGCTTCCGCAACCGAAGGTACGTTGGCATTCAGGGTCGCAATGTTGCTGCTGTTGTCGTAGGCAGGAACCATCTGGGTCAAGAGCCGTTCAATGCTGGCGTCTTCCCCGGCGATTCCGGACCCTAGACTGACGGCATCCAGCCACAGCCACCCAACGCTCTTCCAATTGATGTCGTAGTTGTCTTCTACGACACCCGGGACCCGACGGCTGTACTGAAGCGTGTCTGTGGGATCTTCACAACGGGTGCTCAGCTCGGCCCCGCTCGAGTCCACCTGGTATTGGACCGAGCACAAACCGGACTGCTTGGCTTTCAATGCACAAAGGACATAAGCGGGATCATGACCGGTGGGGGCGGTTCCCAGCAGATAGAGAGCAGATGAGTTCTCTACCTTGGCATTGAAAATCGTGTTGTACTCGGTCGGATAAATGGGGAAGACGGGAGCCGGGTGGTCGGTGCCAGGCGCAAAGCCGAAAATCTCGTCCACCTCGGTTTGATTTGTGCTCTGATAATATGCGGGAGCCTCTTCGTACCACGTTGTGGAATTAAAGGGCTCGTGATTGGGCCATTCCGTGTAGATGATCGGCTCCAGCTCTTCCTTCGACAAGCCGGCACAGAGAACATTGACTGCCGGGGCAGGCACGGAGGCTTGGAGAATGTACTTCCCGTCTCCAGTGGCTCCATTCGGCTGCCGGATCCCATTGCGAGGATTGCGCGCCGCCTCGTATAGTCCGCCATGGGGAAATGCGGCGGTGACATTGTTCACCATTCGTTTGTATTTCTGGGAGGCTGCCGTCATGTCTGTGACCTCGATCCAACTTCCAGTGACGGTAGTATTATCGTACAATGACCCATGAGGCTTGATACGCGTTCTCAGTGACGTTGAGGTTGCATTGTTCGCCTGCGCTAGCCCACTCCATTGCTGCATGTATTGCTCGAAGTCGTGGTAGGCCCGACCGACAATCTCCATAGAAACGCAGGTCTCGTTCCGGCCGGCGGAGGGGTCGATGGTAGCGGTGATAGGAGTGTCGCACTGGGCTTCGAGGTAGGTGGGATTCGCGAAGGAGGTAGACACGTTGCCATAGAGTATTCGTTCGTAGACGGGACCCATCGCTGACTTGGGGGACACTGCGAGGTGACATGTAATCAGCACTAGGAACGACGGGCGAAGGGAAGTCGATCGGTCGGTCTCTTACCAAGAGCTTCCGCAGCAGTGGTGTAAAGCATCGAAACAAGAGTCGCAATTAGCGCAATAATGCCCAGGAGAGTACCTCCAGAGTAGCGCAAAGTCTCCCACTGCATGAACAAAGACCCCGGCTGCGTGATCCACATCCGCAGACTCATGTCCGAAATGCTGATGCCTCGCGACCCTCGACGCAGGGCTCTGCGGCTGAGCAGCTGGCCCACAAATGCTACACTGACGGTCACATAGGACAACTCGATGGTTTTGGCGAAGAAGGCGCTGAGGAGGGTAGCTGAGGAGGGCGCCAGGCCACCGGTGTCGCCGATGAGGTTGCCATAATACGGTTTGAGGCATGCGATGATGAGAAACAAGCCTGACAGGAGGGTAGTGTACGTGGAAAGGACAGTGAGGGTTGCAAAAAACCACGAGCAACAGCGTTCAATGACGGGTTCGCGCGAGGAGCAGTTCATCAACTGGAAGACATCGTTGGAATCTAGCTCACTGCAGGTTGTGTCACGCCGCTGCGGAGGAGAGCCGGGACTGGGGCTGGATGTAGGACTCGCAACAGGTTTGACTCCCATATCGCCATCGTCCTCGGTCGGGGAGAGAGTGGTGTTGAGGTGTAAGTCGACGTCGTGCTGGAACTCGAGCAGGTGGTGTTCAGCGGTAGATTCAGAAGCCATCCCTGGCAGATGGTTGAGAAGTTGGTTTGTTTTGATCTTGCCTCATCCGACCTGTCAGCCGCAACAAGAGGTGGGAGATTAGTTGAGGGTGAAAAATGGAGTCGATGGAGTTGTGTCAGACTTCATCCTGCGTGTCAAGCGTTTGGGGGCGATGGGGGAGGGGGGAGGCGGGGGGGGGAAGACCCAGATCAGCCATCAGCCATCAGCCCGAGAAACAGTTAATTTCAGGAAATGAGGGAATTCCCTGCGGCTGTGCTAGCCTGGTGAATCCCCGTCGCACTGCGGTCGAGAGATTGGCCCAACACATCGTTGGGGAAGATTTAGTGACTTAGTGAATTGGTTGTACTCCGTACAGGGAAGGACACGGAAGGACAGCGAACAACAGGGACTAGACCAGGGGACGACCAGGGGATGACCAGGGGACAAAGAGGCTGGACTGGAGCTTGGATTCTGGATCGAAGGTGGGAAAGTGGAAAGTGGGCAGAGATCGAAGTCCACTCAGGAAAAGGCGGACCGAGCGGTGGAGAGCAGCCGATCATCAGCCCTCAATTGGTCCGTTCGACTGTCACATCATGTGACGGTAGAAGCGGTGGGGAGCCGTAAGTCACGTGCCTTACAGATCTTCCTCCGGCTTGCCCCATTGGGATATGGCTGTAAGGCTCAGTTAGGACTGGTTGGTGATTAATTATAACCATCTGCGACCAGTCTAATGCTGTATATTAAGTTCCACATCTTCCTATCTCAAGGCCTGAGCTTCATGATCCGCTGGCTAGCACTAGCTTCTGTTCTCGTTGTCAAGACTTTCTGATACATCCTGCTACGCTGGAGCGGGAAATATATCTGCGTTTCAGCTACGGGTGACTCCCGCTGATAGGGACTGAGTCTCGTCATCTCCAAAGAGCAAAGACACCTTGTACTCCTAACCTTGTGAGGGTAAATGGTAGACTACATTGATAGAAGTCAAATAACAATGAGCCTACGCAGAACAGATTACAGCATGTTATGATTTTAGAACAATTTGTCCCACGCTGTTTAGCGACCCATGTCCATGGCAACAATAAAGCCTTCCAGGATCCATGCACGACAAGGATAAGGTAGATACCATGTGGTGAAGCCAAGACTAGCAATTGAAATCAGCCTTTATGCGGAAGAGCATGGGTCAATTTCAGTCGCTAATCAATTATGTACAGCGTGTGTACCTTACTTATGGTTCCAGCAAAGTGGAACGGGTCGTAGGGCTGTCGACAAGACTATATATGTAGTCCATACCTACCAGCACTTTGCAGTACATACCAGGCTGACATCGTGTAATTATCATGATTTGTCCTATATCCCCGAAGTTAAGTCATCTAACTGTTTCGCACTAACAGAAGAGGAAATCTTCTCGGGTCTGTCGGCCCCCACGACCAGGGGGGCTGAAGAAGCACGTACACGGAGTGTTCTCCCCACACGAATCCGCAGATGCTGCAACCATTGGTCTATTTTCCACCGTGATGTAAAAAATACTTCAGGGCGACGATATGAGTGGTCCGTACTTTAACGTCTCTGCAATGGACTAATCCAGAACTCGAGCCGCCAAGGCAAAGGATTCCCATTCTACCAAATCGCCCCCAGAATTCCGCTTCTGTTAGCCTTGAGGAATATTCATCGAGCTACATGTGTTGACATATGTGCTACGTGAGGCAGAATGGTGAAGGAACGGGGTGGAGGGTCGTGCGTGCTCAAAGTGTATATAATACTCGACGGAAGCTGGAGAACGCGGGTCTACTCCACCGACAAACCAACATCACACTTTGACCCAATTCTTTTCAATCAAAATGAAGTTTTCAATTATTTTGACTGCTCTTGTCAGCACCTCGATGGTAGGTCATACTCACTCTACGTTACATATGCATACTAATTGCTCAACAAGGCCTTGGTGACGACTCGGGTGCCAAAAGGGTACACCGTCGTGCCAATGACCTACAGAGGCATCATCACCGAGGGCGGCGACGAGGTGGAACTGTCCGGAACAATTGAAGACGTCCACCAGCAGATCAAGCGTCTGAATCCCGACTACAACGTCACCCAGTCTCTCGAAGTTCGGGAGGCGGACGCCGAGGTCCACCGCATCCTCCAGAAAAGAAACAAGGTCTTCCGACCAAGATCCAAACATAAACTATAGGACTGCCTGCCACTGACACTATGGCTTAGAGCAACCTGCTGTGCAACATTGAGGGTGACCACTCCGAGACCGCCACCTACACATGGATCACCCAAGGGATCCAGTATCTGCTCGCCTTGGACGGGGTGTGCAAAGTGGGTGCCGGCCCTGGCACCTGCGCCCGGATCAGCTGCTCCTACGACTCGGGTATCTATCTCTGTAATGACGTAAGTTTGTTGCTGCTTCATCATATCAATTGGAATGCGGAGAATGGAGGTTAATTGAGGAGTAGAATGCGTGGGAAATCGAGCCCAAGTGCTCTTACCTGGCAACCTATGCCGAGGATATCATGACGCGGTGCTATGACGGGATGTATATCAATGGCCAGGAGTTCGATACTGACAACTACAATGTCATTGTCGCGGGTGACCTTTGCTAGAAAGGCATTAGCTTCGATATCGGCAGGCGGGAGATAATGTTGTTGTTGGGCGATGGAGTCGCTATGAAGAGCATGCCTGCCTTGTCATTGTGCTTTAGTTTGCGCTGTACTATTAGTTCATTTGGTTTGTGTTTATTCAAATAAGCGATATCGATTGTGCCATATATATATACTCAACCACAGTTTATGGTCTTGGTGCATTGAGTACCAGCAGATATTGATTATTATGTAGGGTGACTTTATGACGTACACAATTTGGTGGTTCAAACCCTTTCAATTGAGCACTGCTCATACCTGTTAAGATAGAGCAGCAAATTAGCTAGGCAAAGAATTGCAGGTAGTAGAAGACTGAGCTCGAAGCATCATGAGCTCCCACAGCCAGTGGAGGGTGGCATTACCAATGCTCCTTGATGAGAACTTCGAAGATGTAGGCAATGAGTCTGGCATCATTTCGCATATGGAACACGGCTTTTCCTGCAACATCGATAGGGTAGCAGTGGCCATCTTCTTCAAGCCGGTAGAATCGGGAGAACTTACCGATGACGACGATCCCAAAGACAACTTTCGGCTCCTCCTGATCGGGGAGGTGTCTCATCGTATTCACCATCTGGGCCATGAGGTTAACTTCGCGGTCCCACCGATCGAGGTCGTCATCGCTGGAAGGGAAGCGCTCCAACTCCACATTTAAAAAGTCTGCGCCTACCCACCTGGACGACGCCGTGATGCGCACACTGAGGGTTCCCCGGTTATTGACGGCAGAAGTAGTACTGCTCACATCGTAACCGGGGAAATCAGGCCCCATGTCCTGCGACGGGAAGAAGTGCTCAAGGATTTCGAGCCAACATCCCATCATGTGCATTGCGTTCACTTGATCGTCTGGAAATGAGTTGGCAACGCCAGTCACGGCGTCGGTGCCATCGTCAACCGCGGCAGAGAACATCTGTGGAAGATTTAGAATCTGAGCTTGAGGCTGGGGCTGAGCCTGAGTCGGGGGCTGAGTACCGGCTTGACCGGCAGCCTGCTGATCCTCCGCCATCTTAGGCGTCCCCACCACTTGGCTCTGGTCAGTCGCAATTTTCAAAATTATGTTTGTAAGTTTGGTGGACGGATAACCGACAGGTAGCGGGACTCTCCTAGTTTGTCGTTGTACCAAAGGAGAAAAATAGGGGGACGAGTACTTTATATCAAGTCTACATCTCTAAGAGAGGGCGCTAGAGCCATGATGGTGCTGGTTATCTCCGTGGAGAATGTTGCTTAGCGAAGCATTCTCACAATTTCCGGTAAGTATAGAAAAGGCTGTTGACAAAATCGTTGAAACCGCAATGCTCGTCCAACAGAGAGAAAGGTCTCAGAGCGAATCCCGGGATGTCAGCAGATAAATCATGAATAGATGAGATATACCATGTGATCTTCCGCCGATGATTGTCGACAAGAGGACAAAGGGTATGATAGCTTTGTACGTACAAGTTCATCGGAGAGTTCCGAGAGCATGTGCATGGCAGTACGCTACCCCTATCCAAGCGCTACCATAGTAGCTGCACCATCCCCGTAGGTAACCGATTCTGTAGAACTACTATATACTGTCTACCATACACACTGCATACAGTACATCAACCCCCATGGCAGACTAACATCGAGCAGAGCACAACCCTACTAAGTTATCCACAATACCAGACTCAAGTATAAGCCATAATCGAATTAAACGTCCAAAAAGCATACTTGAAATCCCCCGGCACATTCTTCACATAATCCTCACAGGACCCATACCCAGTCTTGGCCGCGCACCCGGAACTCGACCAAGTCCCGCTCGCCCAAATCCCACAGAAAGTGGTGTCGATAACAATCCGCTGATTCCTGATGTGTGCGGACATATCACACCCACTCCCATTATTACTCTCAAAAACCGTAGTCGGGGTTCCCCAAGTGTCCGGATTCGGAGACGACCCCAAGGGCCCGCTCGCGCCACTGGGAATGGCACCCCAGGGGAAGGACCAGATGCGCACCGCCTGCACGGTCCACTCCATAGCATAAACACCTCCACCATTGTTGCTAAACCCCGATCCAAAGCTGTTGGTGCGCGGGTCGTTGGCGTCGCAGCCGCCGTTGGCCTCTTCGGCGCAATTGTTCCACCGGTCCTTGGTCGCGGTCATGGCAGGGTTGGAGGTGATGATGCATTGGCCTTGTTTGTTGCTGACGTGCAACGACATCTGATTGTTCTGGGCGTTGTTGGCGTTTTCGACGATGTCAATCTCGCCGCTCTGCGGGTAAAAATCAAACACTTTTTAATTATTATTTATAAATAATACCGATATAATATTTAATTTAAAAAGATTATTGAAAATTTTTAGTAATCTGTCAACTGGGTTTTATATAAACAAGCTGTAGAAATTAAGAATTAGATAATTTAATAAGATTATTTTATTTTTAATTCTAATTATATTAAGTTTTTCTATTCGTTAAATTAACTAATTTCTAATATTTCTTTTTATTTCAATAAATTATATTATTTTTAAAATTATAAATAATATAATTATATCATCTAAATATAAAACAGTATATATAATTATTAAAAGAATATTTACAAATAAATCTAGAACTTCTATTCAAGGAGGGTTATCCTAGTCAAAAGGGGTTATCCTATTGAAGGTTGAATGTGATTAGAGTGGGGCTTCCTGCTATAATTTAATTGGCTGGTGTTATGGGACGGATGGATTGTGCTAATCAAAACGTGCCTTAGAATAAGAAGAAATAGCTAAAAAGCTATTTTATCTATTTATATAAAATTTCTTTATATATACTAAGCTAGTGTTAGTTTAGTATATAGCATGCAAGGCCTCAGACACCAACTGGTATCTAAAGCTGAGCTTTATATTAGAATCTTAGTTCTATAACAGAAGTCTTTTTTTTTAATCTTTCTTTTATAGCTTCTATTCGTACGAACGACTGTTTAAAGTCTAAGATAGTAGTTCTATATTTCAATTCTTTATTTAGATTAGAGTGGATTTTGGTTGAAAAACAGGTTAAAAACCAAGCGTTTGAAATCCGTATTTGGATGTATATTTTATTGTATACTGATGTTTTTAAAATGTAATTAAATTTTAATGTTATTTAAATTTATATTTTACATTTTAAATACAGTCCAATACAACTATGCCGTATTTAATACATTACTAATCACTTTCAGGCCATTTTTCTTAGTTAATTTTTAACTGTTGAGTAATATACTGTATTGGTTATGTATTCGGTAATAAGAATATATATATAATATCAATATTATATTCTATAGTATAAATTACAATATATTAAATTATATAAAGATCTATATAGTATTTTATCTTTATACCTATGTCTGTATTTCTTAACCGTTTTGCTTAAAACGGTTAACCGTCAGGTTAAAAAAAATCCACTCTAATTTAGATAATATTATAACTGATTAGTAGACAGTAAGTATATAGATAGAATCTGTCTTATTTAATATAATTCTTTTTTTATATAATCTTTTTTTATTCATTAAATATTATAATCTTGTGGTAAATAGAATCTCTTTTTATATTATTTATATAACTGATTCCGGAAATATGGTCAGGCTTAGCAACTAGTTTTATATATAATATATAAAATACTATATAAGAAGACTATTCTCTTCTCTTTTTAGTTTTTCTTTTCTTTATATATCTTTTTTTCTTTATTATTATTGCGGGACGGATGGATTGTGCTAATCGAAACATATCTTAGAATAAGAAGAAATAGCTGAAGAGCTATTTTATCTGTTTATATAAAATTTCTTTATATATATTAAACTAGTATTAGTTTAGTATATAGCATGTAAGACTTCAGATATTAACTAATATTTAAAGCTAAGTTCTATATTAGAATTTTAATTCTATAATAGAAGCTCTTCTTTTTTTCTTATCTTTTTTTTATAGCTTCTATTCGTATAAACGACTGTTTAGAGTTTAAAATAGTAGTTTTATACTTCAATTTTATACTTAGATAATATTATAACTAGTTAGTAGATAGTATATATATAAATAAAATCTATTTTATTTAATATGATTCTTTTTTTCATACGATTTTTTTTTATTTATTAAATATTATAATCTTCTAATAAATAAAATCTTTTTTTATACTATTTATACAACCGGTTCCGGGAATGCGGTCAGGCTTAGCTACTAGTTTATATATAATATATAAAATATTATATAAAAAGACTATTTTTTTCTCTTCTTTACTTTTCTTTTTTTTATATATTTTTTTTTATTATTAGTCTGCTTTCTTTTCGTCTGTACGATTTCTATTATTCTTTTTTTATATTTATATAATACTTTTTTTTTCTAACGCCGAGGCTGGTAAGTCTGAGCAATCGAACAATATATTAATTTTTATTTATTATAATTTTTTTTAGACTTTTATTATTATTATTAATTATAATTTGTTTTTTCTTTTTATATATTATATAATTATTTATAACCCCCGTACTGGCGACGCGGAGTATTAAATTACTATATAATTAATAATATATAAAAATAAGATTTTATTTTAACTTTACTATATTTTAAATTAGCAGTATATTTAATATTTTTTTATTATAAATTTAAAATAAAAGTCGGTGCTTTTATTATAACTTAAATAAAAAAATCCAGCAGAATTTCTATATAAAATATTAATAAAATTAGATATATATTAAATATTTTTTATATATTAATAGTCTTCTGATTATAATTTATAGTTTAGTAATACTATATTATTATAAATATAATAATTAAATAAAATTTCGACAGATTATATAATTATTTAAATAGTAAAATAATATCTGTATTAGATATAAGTTTAAAAATTATAATATATTATAATTATTATAATCTGAATAAGTCTAAATATAAGCCTACAGTAATTACTACTTTCTTCTATAATATTATTAAAAAATTAATAAATTAAATAAAGTATACGACTAAAATTTAATATAGTAATAGTTAGTTTTCTTTATCGGATTAAGTAAAGCTTTTTTTAATTAGTTCGAAGAATTAAAAAAAATTTTCTTTTTTTTTTTATATTTACTTCTTCTTTTCCTCTTTTCTTTTTTTTTTTTAAATCCGTACGAATCAGAATTAAAAAAGAAAATATTAATATTAGTTCTTCTTTATTTTAATTTTATTT